ATTCAAATGAGAAGACTTAAATCAGTAGATATTTGACCTCAATTTCATGTTAGAATAGCAAAAACAATCTAGGAAAGAATACTGTATGGGAGAATTGGGGACTGTTATGTCAAGGGCACACAGAAGAACCTCACAGTTCTTCCTTCTAAGGCCACATGCCTGCCTTTCTGGACACACTTTGGCTAAATGCAGAATTGTATAAGATTGCTAGGATGGGGTTACAGCTGCATGCAAGAATTGAAAGATGCCGCAAGAGTCACTTCTATCCCTTCCTCCCTTTGCTCAATTTCCCTCTGCAATCTTCCTCCTACCTCTGCTTTCTGAGAAATAAAGAACTTCTAATTCCTAACCCTTTGTCTTATTTAAGAACCATTTCAGGAATTTTCTGACTCTCTTGGCAGCCCTGAAATTTTAATAAAGCTGTTCATTATAGAAGTATTTCTAGCTTGATCCATTAATTGAATGAGGAAAAATGGTTGTATAAAGGCTTTCTCATCTTTAGCATGCATATGAGGAATGAGAATGCTCCCTTCACAATGAAGTCTAAGTGGGAAAGGATGGGGTTGAAATGATGCCATGAAAGTTGGTACTAGAAATGTACTAAGAAATAAATAAATGAGAGATGTTTATGATCAGATACCATGGGTTCACAATAAGCTGAAAGATACTCTTCAATTTTTTTTGTGATGGTTCTTACCTGACCCAAATTTGCCCTATTCTAGCCATCTGGTTTTGCCACTGATTTAGCTTGGCACACTGCCAAATCATACACAGGCTAATAGAAAGTGAGAAAGAAAAGAAATAGAATGTAATAGCTTGATAGACATCATAGTTGGCTAGAACCCAGCAACAGTTCAACATCTACAATATCTACACTGCAATATTTTGGTTATTTTTTCAGGTTCAGTTGGTCAGTTTGATTATGTAGATGGTTATACAAAACCTTTAACATAGCCAGTTACCATAGATAGGTGTAAATTGTTCTACTGCTGCTTTTATGTGTTTTCTACCACAATTCATTTATGGATTAGATTGTGATTTTTCCAATCATTTCCATTGAATCAGATGTTGATTTTTAAAGAGTCAACTAATCAGAACTATTGGAGCTCTTATACTTGATACATTGATGTCTCGGTATCCTACTGAATAAAGCAAAGTAAGATTCTCCAAATAAAACTGCTTCAGAAGGATTTCTGTTCATGTATTACTCTGTATTAAAATGTACAACTCAATCCATATTAAAAGGTGTAGCTCAGGGACCAGGGGGGTTGGAGCAACTTAAGGAATAATCATAGCAGTAAATCTAACAGCATTCAGAATTCTTGCTATATTCCAATGGAAGTCGATTCAGGAAATGACGAGAGAGCTCTTTCCTGAAGACACCATTTTTTAATCCACAGACATTTATGAAATAAGAGCAGCTGAGAAAGGAGATGGCTGGAAGTTTGCTACATTAGAAGGTGAATGGGCAAAGATCATTTCATGGGAAATGAAAGTGACCATGCTGGAAGGCCTCTGTGGAAGTAGCAGGAAATGGCACAGTAGTGGATCAGAGAAAAGCAGGGCCTATGTGTGGATGGGTTCCTGCTACTTCCACAGAGGCCTTCCAGCATGGTCACTTTCATTTCCCATGATACATTGGGTCACTTTATGCTACTCTTGACATATCATAGCCAAATAGAAACACAAACAACTTCCTTCTCCATCCTTGAAAATGTCATTATGAAAGTACTATCTTAGTCTGCCGACCTGGTAAGTTATCTGATACATTTCTGCATGAGAATGAAGACTAATACTTCTATATATGGGAAATTTAGAAGGCAATCAAGAGCAGCAACATCGGCATACTTACTTTAATGGGTCTACACACAATTGTTTGGTGCAGCGAACCTTACTATGGAACTCAGTTTTAGGCCATTTAACTATGTAGCTTTTTAGACAGTATCTATTTGAAGTCCTGGAGCACAATAATGCTGGGCCTATTAAAGGTCCCAGGATAAGCAATAGCAATGCACTTAAGACTTATATACTGCTTCACAATGCTTTACAGCCCTAACTGATTTACAGTAACCCAATGGCCCGTAACAATATGGGTCCTCATTTTACCAACCTTGGAAGGATGGAAGGCTAAGTGAACCTTGAGCCTGGTGAGATTCAAACTGTGAAATTGCAGTCCGCTGGCAGTCAGCAGAAGTAGCCTGCAGTACTGCATTCTAACCACTGTGCCATAAGGAAGATTAACATATACTGAGAGTTGTACATGCATGTTCTTCAGCTTTCTGCTAAGGCAACTCTAGTTCTGCAGCTATCATATCTGAAATCACAGTATTAGTGGTCCCTGAAACACTTAATTTGATGGTCCTGCCTGTAATGCCATCAGCGAATGGGGCAAACTAATCAGTATGGAATATTCCCTTACTGTGCTGTGTGAAACTGTACCAAAGTAAGATAATTTATCTCCATGTGTTCCCTGCTCTGTCCAGGCATGATATTCCGCTCTGGAAAAGAAATCGGGGCCGGACAAAAGAGACCCCCCGCCGCGCGCCTGGGGAGCGCCCGCTGCTTTCCCTCGCCGGGGCCGGGCGGTGGCGTGTTGCACGGAGGCTGGTCTGTGGCTGGCCCAGCTCCCTTTTCCTGCCGCTCAGCGGCCTCTGCTCGCACCGCCCGGGCTCCGCTCAGGTATCCGGCTGGGGCTTTCAGGAGTTGCTACCGCCGGCGCAGCTCCACGCGGCTCCAGTCCCGCGTTGCCTCGGGAAGGGAAAGGCAAAACCAGGAGCCGCTGCTGCCGTTGCAAAGCGCCGCCGCGGCTCTTCCTTTTTGCCTTTCCCTTCCTGAGGCAACGCGGACTGGAGCCGCGCGGAGCCGCGCCAGCAACTCCTGACTCGGGGCCTCCGAGGGGAGGGGAAGGAGGAGAAGAAGGGGTGGGGGGAAAGGAGGGGGCGATTCCCCAAAAAATCGGAATTCCGATTTTAATCGGAAGAATATCATGCCTGTCTGTCTTAAGTCTGTTGCCCCCACCCCATCTCACCATTAGAAATCTTTCTTCTTTTGCTTCAAGACACATGCTGAATTCCTTAATAATCGGGACATTTAAAATATATATATTGCTGCTGCTTCTAAAAATGGGTGATGATGTCTCCGTTTCCTTGCATGTCTAAATGAGAGAGATGGGATTATTCACGGTGCTTCTACAATGAGATCAAATTTCAATGCACTCACTTGATATAAGAGATTGCCGCATGGATTGTAACTTGGAGGGCTCAGAGGCAGCAGGTTGAAATGGTGTCTTCTGCTTCTTTGAGGCTTAGTCCAGTACACTTGAGGGTCCCCAAAGGAGGAGATTGAAAATGGGGGCAGTTTTTAATCCCAGTCTTTATGACTAGTTCAATGTGCCCCACAGATGCAGAACATTCAGCAAGCCCATAAGAGACATGAACACTGCCTACATAAGGATTGAGATTCAGATTTGGGGGTTGATACTCTACAAAATACACACATTTGTATTTTTTATTGTAGCTTTTTCCCACTGAGTTATGTTCCAAATACGATTGAGCTGAACTCCCAGCTAGTATGTCACAATCCCAAGTCAAGGAAGGCTGATTTTAATGTACTTGCGTCCAAGCTACGTAGGGCATACATGTAAAATTCAAGTAACACGTAGAGGATCTACAGTAAGTCTGCCAATTCCTTGCAAATAAGGTTTCTTAAGTTTATAAGAAGCAGTCTTCTTCCTCTGAGGCCAACAGCAATTATGGTATTATGCCTACCATATTTAAATGGAGAAAAGGGCAGAAAGGGAAGAATGAAATCCTCCTCCTTTAAACACTCCGTTCTCAGGTACACATTCTTTCCTTCTAAATGTAGCATAGCTTTATAAGTGAAAATTTATAAGTGAAAATACACTTACAATATACAGCCTTTGCCAATTTCACATAACATCCAGTTATGTGTTTTTTTTTAATGAAGTTTATCTCAAGTCAAATGTGTGCCTTTGGATGGTGCTGAATTCCACTTTCCAAAGAGTCTAGACAGCATGGCCAATTTGGAAAGATTATAACTATTATACACTAATAGCCTCTCAAGTGTCAAGTTTCAGGCAATTCTGAAGTGTGGGATTGTACCCTAATGCAATCAATCATTGAAGATTCTCAACAGCAATTCTCAGTGCTTTCAAAAAGTATTCTTGTTTAAGGGTATTTTTAGGTGAAAGTTTAATTTATAAGGTTTATGTTTAGGATCCCTGTCCTAACTCAGCCTTGGTTTATGCAAATCAGGTTTTCTTCTGAATTCTTGAATTGATGTAGCTTGAGTAGAGCAGCTAGACATAGTAGAGGTTCATGATCCCAAAACTATATCTTCTAATTCCTGTTTCCTTAAAGATAAAGAAAGCCATGAGTTATGAAGTTCTTCAAAACACGTCGGTAATGTTAAATGACTCTGGAAATTCTGTTCCATTGCACTGATATTTACTCAGACTAAGAATATCCTTGGTGAAGCTCAGGAGAAAGGAAAATTTTGGTTTGTGGTGAATTGCTGTTTTATACACAAACCAGCCACCTTTTAGTCAGCCATTAGCGCCTTACATTTTTCTGCTAATGTTTTACACATGTGGAGGCAGTAAGAGCATTACGTGGCAGATACTATGTCCTTGCTCTGATTTTTTCTTTCTTTCTGAACTTCTACTGAGCTCACCAGTCTCTTTTTCTCAGTGACAATATTTCTTCAGTTTTTGAATTCTGCTGTCTCAGAAATGGCTGAAGAATATAAAAGTCAAGGTGGCTCTTCCATTGGAGAGAAATGGACTTGTCTGCTTATTCCAACTGGAGATGTCATCCTGACCTGAGGATTGTTTTGTATTAAACTTGGAAGAGAAATCCACATTTAGTCAAATGTCTGTTTTCTGTCTTTTTGTTTCATTTACTATTGTAGAACAGGAAAACATTTATCAGGGAAAACCTGTTCAGCAGAGCAGCTTAGTACTATGCAGCATATTTTCTCCATTTATAACAAACATTAAGTTCGGAACATTTCACTTGCTTATTACTTACAGGATTGATAATTATTCAAAGCATAAAAATCCTGTGAAAAAAGAGAGTGGTGATTTTCTGCAAATCACCTATGAATTCTCCCTCTTACTTATTCTTTAATAGCATTACTCATCTCTCAGAAATTTGCAGACTGGTCCATTGTAGGTCTAACAACACAGTTCAAGAGAAAAGTGCACAATGCATTAGACCCAGGAACTAGCAGAAGGTTCTGTGAGAAACAGTTGCCTAATGCAGATTGAAGAACCTGTGTGTCTCCAGCTTCCAGTGTCCTCACCTTCGATGATGCTTTCTGGGATTACATTTCCTCTGCTGGAGGAAAGGTACACAAATTCTTGACCACGATCTAGCTGGTTAATGTTTGAATGCAGTTTAACTAGAAGAAGAGTTGTATTATAGTGGTGGCTTTGAAACAAAACTGAATCATTCCCATGCACATGTCTAATAGAAAGCAATTCTGAAAAGCATATGTATTATTTGGTTGTCTTCTTTGGGACTTTCCAAATTTAGGCATGTGACATCATGCCAGCTGATGACTGGCAACCTCAAACATGCTGGTGGAAAAAAGGACAATGTGTTGTTTAAGGACAGAGATTTCACGTCTGCCTGCCATTTCACTCCAGTTTTTACAATCATCTTAATGTCACCCTAGATGTGATTAGGGAACACTCTTGTGTTTAAATCTGGTTCTTCTTCAATTGTGCAAATACTTTCCTTATTAAAAGAAAAAATATGTGGTTGATATAAGCTAAACCTTTCACCTTTCCTTAAGTTGTCTGATGATCAACCTTTTTCTGTCCCTGTTTTATATAGGAAACTGGGCCAGATTTTTATACACACAGCTCTACCTATTAGCATTAGAAACCTGCTTCCCCCTTCTCCCATATTGCAATCTGCTGTCAAACCAGGAATGGGGAAGTTTCCACCTCATCTGATCCAAAATAATGCCAAATTTGAGCATAGCATTCTTCTGCTTGCCAAGCCAGCAACTAGAAAAACAGAGACAAGTTAGGCTCGTCACTTCAACCGAACTAGCTCGGGAAGTCTTTGGCAATGGATTTGGACAAAAGCAGTAACAAAAGCAGCAGAAGCATTATCAGGAAATATAGGACTTTGGGTCTACGGCTGGCAACATACTGAGACTTGCAGTGATTGTGAATATACATCCAAGGATGCTCAACTTTCCCTATGTCTTTACCCCTTTCACTAATGGTTTATAGAAAGGACCGCAGCTATTGTGGCCAATGCATTGATCAAATCAAAATAGTCCTTTCTTTTTGCTGCCATGAGAAGACTGCTCAAGCTAGAGAAATATTTTCATATGGCCAAAATATTTCTTTTTAAAAAGCAAAATAGGGGGAGAGGGAGGAAGAGAATATGGAACAACTGAGTATTCAGAAGATTTACCCAGAAGACACAGAAAGAGCCAAGCAACGGCAGTTTGTCAACCTGGAGCAGAACAGAGGTAACATAAAGAACATGCTGCTAAGCAGCTGGTGTATAGGATAGAAATAACACTATCTCTTCAGAACATCTCAATGTTCTGTATCTGAGCTCAACATCTCAATGTTTTATATCCGTCATTCTAACAGCATGACCAGAGATGTCAGGACTTAAAAAGGCCCCTCATCCATCTGCCTGACTGGCTCTGATCCAAATTACAACTTCAGATCTTTTCCCCAATCTGGTATAGCAGCTCGGGGAAATCTAGATGTTGGGTTTTGATGCTTCTTTCCAGCATTCTGAAGATTCAACACTTCTGTCCACCCGTCTTTGGTTTGGCAGGATGAAATCAATGATAGTGAGTTTGGGTGTCCAGCAAGGGTCTGGTTCTATATTTGCCTTCTGTGTTTTCCAGTTCTGCTTCAAAACTTGGCAGCCCACCTTCCTCTATGTTCTCTGCTTGGTCCAGGTGGCTGCCCATCGTGCCGTAAGACTGATGAGCTGGGGAAGCTGCTGGCGTAAGACTTAACTCTGGCTCTTGAAGCACAGTGGCCACAAACATCTGTAATGCAAAAGCAAAACAGTTAAATTCTGGTGCTTTTGGCTTTCCTCTCTTTAGCTAACAAAGGAGGTCACTCCTTCTTCTCCTCCTTTCCAAGTTTGGCAACTGTATGGCAGCAATGACTGTTTGTGGCTTGTGAAGCACCTCTGAAACGTTAAAAACTTCTGGGGCACATACCTTGACAGGAATCTGTGTAAGTGCAACTTAATAAATGCAACTGTCTGGAATCTGTTTAATTGCAACTGTCATAGGTGTGTAGGACTTATGATGAATTATGAATGTACTTACATTTGAATTGGGTGTGGAAGAGATGCTACTTGTTTCTGTATCATTGAAAGCCCCATCGGACTGCTCTGACATCTGTTTGCAGACGGAGAAGAATGTAAATTGGATGTAAGATAAAAAAGATAAAAAAATGTTTGTTCTCTTTGGAAGTCCCTCCACAAATATAAACAATCTTAGAATTAAAATGGAGAGTGATTAAATAATGAAATTCAACCCCAGAATGCTTAATCCAATATCTTTCTATCTATATAGCAAAGTATTTCCAGCTGATTTGTCTAATTCCTGTTTTTCCCTCCTATTCTCAGTGGCTCCTGCCTTGCACTTCTGTGGATTCACTGGAGGCGTGGACAGAGCACACAAAGAAACCGAAATAAGCAAACAAACCATAGTCCCTTTCCTCATCATACGAATGATTAAAAATGAGTAAATCAATAAATTGAAGATTACTGTTCTAAAACAACCTATGATTTATTCATTCCTTTTATTTACAGGTTACTCTAAGCAACAAATGAAGCAACAGTGAATTTAGCCAACAGAAAGTAAATTGTATAGCAACATTTGTGAAGCAATTTATAGTAATTATCAGCTATCACCAGTTGTAGCTATGGGAGGTAGCCCAAAACAGCATAGTAACAAAGTGCTATACTGGAATGAGTGAGTAAAATATAATTGGGATGAACTTCAGTTATTTTTACTCGAATAGTAAAAAAATAATCCAAAATTTTGCACAAAGGCATCTTATTGGGAGAATTGTTCAAACAGAGGATATCAAACCATTATTAAATAAACATCCTTTTGTGGAGGGCCATCTAAAATATGTTAAACGCTCCAATAACTGCTTTCTTACAACATATGATGGAACGTCTGTTAGCAATAGCAATAGCATTTAGATTCATATACCGCTTCACAGTGCTTTCTCTAAGCGGTTTACGGAGCCAGCATATTGACCCCAACAATCTGGGTCCTCATTTTACCCACCTCAGAAGGATGGAAGGCTGAGTCAACCTTGAGCTTGATGAGATTTGAACAACCAAATTGCAGGCAGCCGGCAGGCAGCAGAAGTAGCCCGCAGTACTGCACTCTAACCACTGTGCCACCTCAGCTCATACTTAGCCAGAAGATGCAGGATAATTTCTGAAACTGATGGCGACATTTTCTTCTGAGACGGGCGCTGCTTTAGCATTAATTTAGCCTGCCCTTACATGAGACAGTCCAGATGTGTTCAGACCACCAGATTTCCAGTCACCATGGCTGTTGGCCATGTTGGGAGGAACTTGGAAAATTGTTCCAACTTTTCTATTGATATGGATGCTACTACACTAGAATACTGATCAAACTTAAGGAGAATTACCTTTAACAATGGGTTATAAAGGCAGCCCTTTAACAATTCCTGCGAGCAGAGCATGATAATCTGAGATTTGTGTTCTTTTGAAAACCCCTTTGGACAAAAAACTGCATGTCAGGTGTAGGCAATTTCTAAAGGTTTGGATGACCAGAGTAGACCATATGTTCTCACTAGAAGGAACAGGGTTAATTTCTTGGGCCCTTTGGTGATAGGGATGTGAAATGGAATAGGATAGAATAATAACAAGAGTTGGAAGGGACCTAGGAGGCTTTCTAGTTCAGCCATTTGAGTCCTTAAGAATTTCTGCCCCAGAGCAATCATTTGAAAAACAATTTAAAATTGCTCATTTTTCCATTGAATTTGGCCAGCACATCTCAGGTGTTCTGGATTACGTATGATCCATGGGTCATCTGCCAAGTGTAAACTAGCACATAATATATTTATTGCATTAATCCACCATGTGATTCATTTCATTTTGGATTAGTATGTTATAGGAGTTCAACTACTGTGGTTTAATCAAATAATCATGGTTAATGTGTGAACTCACTTAAATTCAAATTCAAATTTCTATTAATTCATGACACTAGTTTTAATGATAAACTGCCTCACAAAAATAATTGTGAGGAAGAAATGGGACTGGACTATCATTGGTACATTGTTTTCTAAACCTCTGATAATCAAAGCAGATAAACAGAATGAAAGAAAGTGCATGTTAAAAACTTTTGGAGGGAAAAGTATTTTAGGGATACTACCCTGTCTTGAAATTTAAAAAGAAAGGAAAACTTGTGTGTGATTCAATCTCCGCTTAATTCAGTATGACAGAAACAATGTATAGAAAACTAATATAGCCAAAAAAGAATGATAGAAGGTAAACAATCAAGAAATCCCCCCCAGAAAGAGTAATGCCTATCGACTTACACATATAGATAAGTCTGATACTTTATATCATACTTTTTATAATTGCTTTTTATAATTAGCTGGAATTCCATTAAGTTTCTGAAATGTTTGGGAACAAGAAAAACACAAAATTGTTTGAACTTGGACTATTTCACTAAGTACATCAAAAATTGCTTCTTAGAATGGAAACAGGAGGAGTTCTGGACTTGTAGTCCCTTTTCTGTCTTTAAAGATTTTTATCATCAATGTGTTGTTTGGCACACTCAGTGCATACATCTGTTAATGCTGGATTTCTAACTTTTTAGGAATAGATGCGGCATTCATCCCAGAACTGCATTATAGCAAAATGGGAGAGAAAAAGCGCGCGGGGGGTGGGGTGGGGGAGAAATAGTTATAAAATAAGTTAGCTATCTGATATTACATCCAGAAATTAAAATTAGAACCATATCTTCATGCTTTGCCTCTCTAGTGGCAACTAGTCACAAGTATAGGAAACAGCACAAAAGATCCAATGTCGTGTCAGCTGATTTTCACTTGCACAATAAAAGTTTCCTTTGTTTTTCCCCCTTCTTTCATGTCTCACCAAATTGGCTCCAGAGATTCTCTCAAGGTCTGGAATAGATTTGGGGACTGTGGTGGGGAAAAAAGACTGATCCATGACGGTGTTCCATTGGATAAAAACCAAGAAAAGAGTGCACTGTTACCTGATAGCTGGAAGGTTTCCTTGGATGAAACTTCTTCAGGCACAGACCGAAAAAGGAAAAAGGAATGCAGGAGAGAAGAACCACACAGGTGAAAATGGTAATGGGACGAACAGAACCTACAGCATTGGGGAAGAGAGAAACAGATTGGCACAATGTGCCCATTCTCACTGCCTCCTCTGCCTACAGTTCATGGTAGACTTGCAGCTGGGAGCCCAGAGGCCTTCTGTATTAGGAAGAAAGCTCATCCCATCTGCAAGAGGGCTCTCTACATACTACTGATTACTGCTTCTAAAACTAACCTTCAAGGAATGATTATTACCTGCCTATTCTGCACAAACCTAACAAATTCATGTACCACTTTAAATATGCCTTTCATATGCCCAGATATGACCATTATGCCATTTAAGAACTAGTGCCTCCTTCTGCACCACAGTACCATTTTAGCTGTTCACTAAAATGAGCTGTAAAAGGACAGATCAGTTGTGTTCCCATCTTCCCCAACTCCTAATAAACTATTTGAAATGCAGACTTGCAGGCCTCATTTAAAAGGTGCATTTGTATGCTGTGGACTTACTAGGAACTTCTATATCTAAACATTTAGCAGTAGTTCTCATTTATCAACTACAACTGGGCATCGGCAATTCAGTCATTAAACAAAGTGGTTGCTAGTGAAACTGCAATTTCGCTAATGATCCACTTCAGCTTTCCTTTGCTTTTCAGACCTGCAATGGTCGTAAATGCGAGGATTGGTTATAAAGTTACTTTTTCATCACTGTCGTAATTGCAAATGGTCTCTAAATGAGGAAGCCAATAAAGAAGGACTGCCAGTATATTAGAAGTAAAGTAGTGGAAATATGAGCCTGTATGCTTTTGAGAATATTCACTTTTCCCCCAATACTTACACTGGCTTCCCTTCTGCAACTTCTGCAGTTCTTCATTGCTTTGAGCCCTCAAGCCCAACCCAAGACAACAGGATGCTTAGTTTTGGACCACTTCAGATGCTGCTGACTGTGCTCTCCTTTTTGTGCTTCAAAGAGTTGTTTTGGTCCAGGGTTATACTAGCCACTCTGGCTCTTTAAAAGCCAAGGTTGTATGTAACAGTCTTAATGAGAACTAGGGAGTGTCATGTCTGAGATGCTTACTTAAGTTACTTTTCTGGCCCAGGCTCGGATTTCTTTTATCTCACCACTGACTTGGCTGTGGCTCTTTCTCCTCTTCCTCAAGGTTATTCCTAGTGCCCATGACAGCATGCCATGACGAACACAAGAAATGAATGATGCAGCTCTGCTCCAAATTTTACACATGAATTGCCCTTTAACTCAAGCGCTATCTAATTCTCAATTGCCTTAATTCATTTTGGGATTGGTTGTACTATGTATGTGCAGTTCCCTGTAATAATGGGAGAACATCTTTTTCAGCACCAAGTCCACAGAGGCTAATCAGTTTTTGGCATATGCATAAGCATGCTTCTGACACGAACTCCTTACATTTTCAAACACGCGTGAAATGAGAGCTGGTGAACTTGCCATCTTAGTTCTAAACCACTCATGTGGAAAAACTGAAGAGTTTCCACTCTCAGATGTACAATAAATATCACTCTGGATTCAGAGTCTCAAGACGTCCAAGAACATAGCTGTAATAATCCTGCCTAAATAACAGAACAAACCCATGGCTTGAGGGCTTTCCCGTCTTGCTTTTATCCAGCTGAATTGACTCCAATTCTCCAAACCAGCTTAACTAGAATTGCAATCCCATAAATTGGAGGGTACAAGACTGGAGACAGTTGGCATAGGCTAACTAACCCAAATCTAGCTCACGGAAGGCTCAATGAAACTTCACTTACCCAGACGCAAAATGGAGAAGAAGAGCAGCCAAAACATGCAGAGAATGGGTGCTGTCACCACCTGGTTTACTGCTGCCAAATGGATGCGGTGGTTCAGTCTGGTTGGGATATAGACGTAGTAAATATTGTAGCGGTCAACCATGTGCTTCAGTAGCATGTACAGCAAACCTGCGTGAAAAGAAATAGAAGAATTGGGACATGGAGAATGGCCACTCGGAGGAGACAGCAGTAGCTGGGAGGATGACAAGGAAATTTGCCCAAAAATATTTTTTACAGGAAAGAAAAGGCCAGGAGGGACCATAGTTTAGCAGTAGTATAGCCTCTGCTTGCATGCAAAAGATTTATTCATTAGTGACATTTCAAAGATTATCAAGGAATTGTACTGGGCAAAAAATCTTGAGTTAATGACTCCAACAGTTGTATTATACCCTATCAACATAACATCATCCTCATCTTGTATTTATGTTCTGTAGCTCTTCTCTTGCATAAGAATTCATTCCCTGGGATCAATGACATAAAAATCAGGGACAACCTAGAGCCGTGATGGCGAACCTATGGCACATGTGCCACAGGTGGCACGCAGAGTCATTTGTGCTGGCACACGAGCTGCAGGCAAACTTACCTCACTGTGCATGTGCGCGCCTCACAGCTGATTTTCAGCTGGTTTGAGGCCTTTTTCGGCCTCCCAGAGGCTTCAGGAAGACTTCTGCAGGCTGAAAACTAGGCCCGCTTCATCACGTCCTGTTTTTCCGGAAATACCGGAAGTGATGAAACTGGCCTAGTTTTCGGCCTGAAAAGCCCGCAGAAGCCTTCCTGAAGCCTCTGGGAGGCCAAAAAAGGCCTCAAATGGGCCGAAAATCAGCTGTGAGGCGCAGTGCAGGTAAAGGGGGCGGCGGGGTGGTGGTGGCTGAGTGGGTGGGGATTACACGCACATGCGTAGGGGGGGTGCATTGCCTTCTGGGTGCTACCACGCCAAGTGTGAGCATGCAAGCATGCACACAATTTTTGGCACAGGAGCCCCAAAAGGTTAGCCACCACTGACCTAGAGAATATGATAAATTTATGGTTTCATGTTGTTACTGTTATTTATTTCCTTTTAGGGCTTTTGTTTTAGATTAATATAAAAGGAGGAAGGATTTACCTGTTTCTCACTATACCATTTTCTTGGAAAAAATAACAATCCTTTCCCTCCAAGCCCATAAAAACTATTGTAGAAATAGCTACTGTTCTTTGCAGCAAATAGCAATTCTGGAGTAGGATAGGCTAATAGAAAAATGGCACAGAGAGAAAGGACAGCAGAAAAATCCCTGTTCCAATCATATCTTCTGTGGCTTAAAAAGAAAGTGTAAAAGGTATAGATGTCAGCAGACTGAAATCCAGTGAATAACATATACTAAAATTATTGCAATGTATTGAAATCCCACTTTTTGCCCCAAATAATTCTTATTTGGAGAAATTACTGCTACTCAGCTATCATTTCTATATTCATTTGTATATCATTTCACAAGGCTACTGTCTATTATAAATGAACTTTATAATGTACATCTCACTGCTTTTCAATTTTATAGGCCAACAGGTCTCTACAATAGCTGTTTGATTCCATTTACAGAAGCCCACTAAGTGATATCATCCCAAACTTTGACAAGAGCCACAGCTTGTATTTCTTTTTTTATTGGGCAGTGTTTCCTTCAATTGCAATCAGCTAAGGTCCAGACCTATAAAGATGTTATTGGCAACAGGAGGAATTTTGGAGGAATTGTTGTATCTACTTACCAAAGGGGACAATAATGGGGCAGGTGATACTATATGTCATAACCACAGCAAATATGCAGCAAGTCCAGGCATACTCCAGTCCAAACTGGAACTCGTAGGCTTGATTCTGGGGGGAAAACACAGTAGTGCACCTTCTCTTTAATTTTATTACACATGAAGCTAAATGAATGGAGATGGGATGGGAGAACAGCCTCACTGGTCCTGGGGTCTATGACCATTCACTGTGGCCAACTTGCCACAGCCAACTTGCCATGGCCAACTTACTGCAGCCAACTCACCACATCATGGCCAGCTGGCCATGGGACAATTTGCTGCAGGACAAGAGTTACACTAATATCAAAGAAATGGTGGACTGGAAGCATTAAAGAAAGGATGCAAAAGGAGAGACAGAATGAAATGTGAATGACAAAGATTAGAATATTTTTTATTTTAAATTATTAAACTGAAATTGTTAAAATTGTCCTGCGGCAAGTTGGCCCATGACAAGTCAGCCTTGGTGAGTTGGCTGCAGCGAACTGTCCCATTCTGGAGGACCGGTGGACAGTTAACAGTAGTTTGTTTCCCTTATACAGAGTTTATCTTTTTTTCAGGTGATAACTCTCACACAACTTAAAAAATATATTTGGTTTTTGTAATTTCACAAGACTTCAGTAATTTAATTAAACATTTTAAATTATTTCATTTTAGGGAATCCAGAAATACTATCCAGGATGGAGGGAGGGTTTTATGGACAGTAATGGGCTCTTGATAATAATTTTGTTATTAAACTATTTCAAAACCACGGCTCTTAGTTTACAATGAACAACAATTATGCCTAACTTCTTCACTGAACAAATTATGACTCCATGTCTTCCCTAAGCCAAATTTGAAAAGTAGTTCTTGTAAGTTTGTATCATAATATCATTGCTATCCTCATGCCCCAAACTAAACTAGGATGTTTCTGCTCATGGTTTGTGATACCATGCTACAAAGATTGAGTTGCAATAATGCTAATTCATAATGAGAGAGGTCAGATACATCTTGCTAAAACATAAACAATGTACTAATGGCTTAGCATTATGGTTGAATAATAGGGGGATTTTACTGGGCTAAAGAAAACAAGCCATGATTCAACACTGTCTGTTTTCAAACAACATTTCATGAGATTCTTACTCCATAAAAACTCTCATTGTCTCACTAGGGGAAATCTCCTAGAGATTTATGGCACCACTTTTAGAGTATTGCTGGATATAATCTATTTGTACATAATCCTAGTCATTCAGGAGGTTACTTAACCTTCTAATCCTACAAGCAAGGTTTCAAATGTCCAAAATAAAAACCCAACAGACCCGCTTGATATGGAGCCGCTCAGGTTCAGATTTGGCAAAGCAGAGCCGTGTGGCATAGACAATGAGCCCAGGGATTCGCAACAGTTCCATGGCTGTCCCAATCAGGCTGGAAGTGACAATATAGTTGACAAAGAAAGCTCCATTATCGGGGAGAAAAACACACCTGCATTAAAAAAAAATCCAGGAAAGTGTGCATGAGAGCGAGCGAGCGAGAGCATAATGTAACAGAAGTATATCCTGAGAAAGGCCATATGCAGTCATAATGGCCCATAATTACCTCCATGTGTTATGTGCAAACAAGACACAACCACCCTACAAATTAAAATTGGTGACCCATATCACAACACACCCAAAATGTTCAGTAATACTTACTGAAATTTTATCTCTGCTTGATCCACAAAGTGAGTGTCAAATAGCCAGCGAAAAAACAGATCCAAACTGGGAAGGGGAAAGAGAGAAGAATAAAAGATATCATAAGCTTGTGACTTTTTTCTTTAACAAACACCCACACCTGAACCCTGCTGGTTCAATAGAAATGGGGCATATTTCAGTGTATGCAGCTTGAGGATGGGAACAATTTCTTCAGAGAGGTGTGACCAAGCAAATTTAACCCTTTTCGATTAGCAAGAGCAGACATGATGTTGTGGACAAATGGAAGGTAGCAATTAATATTTCAGTGCAGGAAGATGTAGTTCTTACAAATTTGAAAGAACAGGTGGGATAACTGGGAGATGAGTGAGTTTGTGGAGATGGTGTGAAGGTAACAAGCAGCTTCTCTTCCATTTTAAAAGACCGTTATCTCTAACACAGCATATACACTCCCTCTGAATATAATGGAATCAGGTTCCAAAGACTGAAGACAAGGATCAGGAAATTATGATTGTGTTGTGGTGATGATACCACTCCACTTTGGCAAAGGATCAGCTACTCTGCATGTATTTAGAAGCTTGGAGTAGGTGAAATATTTATATGGGACCTTGCTCATAGCCTTTGAGAAGCTGGTGATTTTTTTTTTATTTTTAAGAAAGCATTTAGTGCATCATTTTAGCTGCTTAATTTAATAATCTATTACTTGCTGGCACATGATTCCCATTTTTAAAAAATGCTTGTGTTCCTTTTTTCCAAAGATTGCTTGAGCACAATTACTGGACAGCATTTTTAATGCAGGCCATGACTATAATGCCAGCAGTCAGACATTCATTTAAACACTGTGGGAGGAGAGCCATGATATCAAAAAATCAGAAGGAATTGGATAGTGCCTTTCCAGACTACAAATTTTATAAGAGGCATAAACTGTCATGATATCGAACAGATGTTACAAGTTAAAATAATGTCAATGGCTGATTTGGAAACTCAAACAAACCCATTGAATATCTACAGGAACTACTCCTGTGAGACAGCGCTAACTATTTAGCTTATCTATTAACAAAATGATACTAGAAAATTTTGCCTGTCTGCATACCCAATCAAGGATGTGAACAATCTAGGGAAGGCCACTGAGCTATGAAGGACTGATTTAATACTATGTGATGAATGGAACTGCAGGATAAACAATTGGCTCAGAGGCAAGCCCACATCTTTTGTAGGCAAATATGACCGGTACAATTTTAGCTCCATTAAGGCCATTTTCTGATATCACACTCCATTACAGTGTAAATAATGTGTCCATAACAAGAAATAAACCCTTGTCTGAAAGTGTCCATTAAACCAGTTAATTTAATAATATGTCATTTGATATGGGCAGTATATCAAAGAGGAGTGGAGAGGAGGGCCTGCATCCAGGGCCAACCAACACATTACACTTACCACCACACTTAGCTTGGTGCTTAAAAAAAAAACACCACAGTATCATCAAGAGTTATTCATAATGAAAACCATATCGATTTGGAGCATTTACAATTTTGCTCTTTACCTGGTCAGTCCAAGTGAAGGCAAGATGATAACCATAAATACCAGAAAGAAATAACACTTGTGCATTGTGATCTGATTTTCACTTGACCTAAAGGAAACAAAAATGCATTTATTTGGGAGATGGAGAGAGAGAGCAACAATGAAAAGAAACTTCAAAAATTCTTGAGGAGAGGATTTAAAATGTTACACGATCAATAAAATGTTCCAAAATGTTTTCATTAGAAAATTGTCACTAATATGCATTATTAATCCATGTGCCTATATTCCTTTGCTGAGTTAATTTTGGTTAAACAATTTTGTTTTGCTTACTTTTTGTTCTAGAACAGGGGTGTCAAATTCAAGGCCTGTGCACCAGTTCTGGCCTGCGGAGTGTTTAAATCTGACCCGCAGGGCCGCCCTGGAAACATTGAAGGACTGGCCCGCGGTGCCTCTGCCAGCGAAAACAGGCTCCCAATCTCCATTTTTAGCTTGGATGGCCTCCTGCAACCCTCTGCCAGCAAGGCCCTCCTGAGCTCTGTTTTCTCTGGCAGAGAGTTGCAGGAGGTCACTCAGCCGAAAACGGAGATTAGGAGCCCATTTTTGCTGGCAGTGCACTCGGACCACCACAGGCACCCCTGACATGAGTGACATCAAGCTGGCCACAACCACCCTGGCCCCCCAAGCTCAAACACAACCCTGATGCATCCCTCAATGAAACTGAGTTTGACATCCCTGGTCTAGAAGGAGGGCACAGTTCCCAGAAAGGAAGACTGAGTTACAGAAATAAAGTAAATGCCTCAATGCTGAGTTAAGAAAAAGTTTATCCAGAATGTTTCCAAATATAGGTGCAATGGAAATGTGACAAAGAATAAATTAAAACAATAAATACCTGGATCCTCTATGTCCCCTGAATATTTATCAGGTTTTTTTTATTCATTGCCATGGCAAGCGAGATTCCCAGAGAAACTCTGAAAGTGTAGCAATATGATAAAAGGAAATTGGAATTACCTTGTCCAATGTGACTCAAAGAAAGCTGAGTAGTACACAATGAAAGGCAGGAACACAGAAAAAGCCCACAGCAGCAGAGTGGGGAAGAATTGAGTCACAATAGGGTTCTGGAAGGCGAGAAAAAAAGGGGATAAGTCAAGTGTTTTTAAAAAATAGGGACTTTTTCTCCATACCACCTCCAAGAAAGTTCTAAGACGTGTTCTTTATTTGCTTGGTAGCTTACCCTGCACTTCTTTTCTTCCTCTGTTTCTGGTTTGGAGATTACAACTAGTGAGGTTTGATTTATTGGAATAATTTGAAATGGAAAATGTTCTGAGGAAATTAAACTACTTGTTATAGATCCTAATGTGCCTAGAGAAAAATGTCAACTTGTACCACAATGTTTTGTTTGCACTGGAAAATGTTCTGATCAGTAACATCTGTCTTGATGTTATTTGTTATGGATTACATAAAAAATAATAATTATATTCTGAATATATAAACTTGCCTAACACAGTACAGTGGTACCTCAGTATCATCATTAATTGGTTCTGGGAGGTGTGATGAATACCAAAAATGATGAGTACCAAACAATTTTTTTCCATAGTGAGCCACAAGATAGCCGACACTACAAGTTCCAGCTTGTGTGCTGAGTATTAGACAAACAATGAGTACCAGGACAAAATTTTTTGCATCCAAATGTGTTAAACACCAAATCTGATTAGTTTCAAAGCAGTTGAATATCAAGGTATCACTGTATTTGCAATTGATATCCATTTCTTATTAAAGAACTTTTGAAATGAGGTTCCTTAAAAAACCCACTAAAAATCCCATTATTTCTATTTTAAAAATATGACCAGACCCAATTTGATGACTATTTTTGCCACAGTCATTAAGCAAATCCAGCTTCCCCAATTGACTTTGCTTGTCGAAAGCCGGCAGGGAAGATAATAAATCATGATCACATGACTGCAAGACAGGGCAACCATCATAAATATACGCAGGTTGTCGTGTGCCTAAATTACACGAGGAGGATGCTTTGGTGATCTTAAGTGTGAGGGCCAGTCATGCATCATTGATTTTAGCACTGTCGTAACTTTGAACAAATGGTTGTAAGTCAAGGACTGTGATGCAATAAAGGTAAGTTTAGGGAGAGAGGATGAGAATTAGATTTGTGGTGAATGGTTTAAGTCACAGCTTTTTCTCTTTCTTTCTACACAAGAGAAGATCACTTATACCATTCCAACAGTAAATTAATTATTAAGTCATTCTACTACAAACTAAAATTATAGCTTGCATTGAAGAAGCAGCATCAATCTGGAGTTTCTAAATTGGGATGAATAATCTTTCGGGTCAGTGGTGGGATTCACAATTTTTTACTACCGGTTCTTGGGCGTGGCTTGGTGGGTGTGGCAGGGGAAGGATACTGCAAAATCTCCATTCTCTCTCCACCCCACTAACCTGCTTTTCAACTCCGTTCTCCTATGCAGGGCAACAAAAGAAGACCCAGCCAATCAGCTGGGACTCAGGAGGCTGGAATAGATGGGGGCGGGGCCAGTCAGAGGTGGTATTTGCCGGTTCTCCAAACTACTCAAAATTTCTGCTACCGGTTCTCCAGAACTGGTCAGAACCTGCTGTATACTACCTCTGTTTCCGGTTCTTTGGCGCTCAACTGCTCAGATGGAAACATAGGGTGAGCCTCTGTGTAAACACATACGTATTTGCGCTACACTACAGAGACTCCTGCAGGGTGTGGTTGGGGGAAGAGGGAGAAAGCAAATTTTCTCCTTTCTAGCAGTCTTGAGCAGAGCTGTAGTGAGGAACAAGTCATGAGATCTTTCTTCATCCTAGCCACCCAATTTGTAGATCATCAGTTTTCTGCTCCAAGCTGAAAAGAGGGGGGGCAGGGGAAGGGGGGCAGAATTCTAGTTCTTGAGAAGGTAATCAGAAAGAAAAGAGAATCTATGGGGCTTTCTCATTTCTTCCACTGAACCCACTGGCAACTGCCATTTTCCTATCCCCACAAGCAGCACAGATTAGTGGCAACACTAATTTGTTCCTCACCTGTGAACTGATCAGGATGTTCAGCTAATCCTGGGAGAAGGAGAAGCTACTCTTTAGACCGGAGGTCTCCAACCTTAGCAACTTTAAGACTTGTGGACTTCAACTCCCAGAAACTTTGCTGGCTGAGGAATTCTGGGAGTTGAAGTCCACAAGTCTTAAAGTTGCTATAGTTGGAGACCCCTGCTATAGACTACATGTTTTGTACCTAAGGGTTTCTTGGTTCCCATTTGGAGATTAGACTATTTCCAATTCTATACATTTTTGACCTCCTGCCTTACTGTCTTGTATGCTGCTGGTGACCTCTCGGACAGAGCTGTCCACCCAGGCAGAATTTCATTATTAAGAAATCTGGCTAGAGCAATTATCACTGTCTACCTGGCAGGTAGGCAAGTACCATCATATGGAGTGTGTAACGAGAATAAGCATGGAATGAGAAGACCCAAAGGACTGGGAGTGAGATGATATCCTGCTTGAAATAAGGCTTCAGGATCAGTAAGGAACTACAGCTATGCTATGCACCTCGAGGGTCTCCACAGGCCGTGTAACGTTGAACATGTCCATGGTGTTCACAATGATGGCTGGAGTAGTGAGGAAGAAGAGGAGGATGAAAAGGCAGATGTTGAGCAGGACAAATTTCACCCACCACAAAGCACCGCCAATAGATAAATTCTCCCTGCGAGAAAGAAAGCATAGCTTGGAGGTTATGTGCAACTAAGGCAAGGAAACAACTGTCCAATATGTCAATATGTTAGGGCTTGACTCAAGATAAAGGTTGCACTATTTGTCCTTTGGGGACTTGTATATACAGATCACAACACACATTCAAAAAACTACAAATTGTGCACTTGAAAGTTTATAATCTTTCACAACAAATTGGGACTAGATGACCGAACTAAGTGCTTATTGGTTCTCTTTTTAAACTAGTCTGAGGGCAAAATTTGTTTATGTAATTCATTTACTGTGCATTGCCCACCAATGGACAATTTGTAGACTTTAACAATGTAAGAAAATAACAATCAAAGCCAGATGAACAAAGCCACACACACACACAAAAAATCATGACCATCATAATACTGTCTAAAATCTAACATTGTAATTGCTGTACTATAACTCCTGGGCTAAACGCTGTATTCACCAATATTTTACAATTAGTACAGAAGATTTGTTCAATAGTTCTTTCGTACTTGGTGCCACTCCTAGGCATGCCTTCAACAATGTATTTCTCCTTAACTATGCTAGACTGTATTTTATAACAATCAACCCCCCCTCCATGGCTAATAAAGAAACATAAAACACTCATAATGGGAGAACTTAACATTTCAATGGGTTGTTGTTGTTTTTTTACAGATTTTTACACTACAGGAATCCAAGCTGGGGGAAGAACAAAGGGAATTTACCAGATGATGTCATTGGGTGCAGGGGCATAGCTGACACCCCAGCAATGGGATTTCACCACTGTAGTAACAGATGACTGTTGTGGGTGCTTGCGGCAGTGGATGCGGCTGTAATCCTTCAAAATCCTGGGAAACCAAAGAAGAATAAAGAGCTGGAATTAACTAGCCAGGTTCCTCTTGTTTGTGTTTGGAATAAGAAAAAAAAAATCAAGTCAATTGCCTTATCGATTGCCTTATCCAGCCCAATTTATGTGGTTAGCTACCAATTTGTTTTTTTGTTTAACCATTTCAGTGGTGGTATGCTACTGGTTTGGCCCTGTTCTGCTGAGCTGGTAGCGGCGATGAGCAGCAGAGACCAAACTGGTTCTCTCCGCCACTCTGCTGATGGGCCCACCTGCCCGCCCAGGTTCCCATACTCACCTTTATCTTGTGCTTTTGAAGCGCAGCTGCTTTGCACAGCACAGAAGAGTGCCGCATGGCAGCTGCTGAAGAGACCTGGAGAGTGCAGGCTTGGAGGAGGTGAGTTGGAACACCTCTGCAACTGCGCAAAGTGCGTGTTTGATTCATGCGTGCACGCAAAGTGCATCAAGCCACGCCCACTGAACCCGTGGTAAAAGTTTTTGAATCCCACCACTGAACCATTTATATCATTTCTATCTTTTGCAAATATCATTCAACAGACTTACACATTTATAGAGATTCAGGCACAACATAAAATAAATTACGCTCTTTAATGTATGACACTAAAAGATTTAAGAAGCAGTTCAATGCCCCCAAATGGACGTCTGATCTTAAATATTAAGGAGATTTAAGTTAGACATGGAATATGACCCAAATGCACCCATCAAAGAGTTCCAGAATAAAAAAAAAGTTAATGCTGCCATAGTGAGATAGCTGTAACAAGGCAAGGGATGAGTGCCTGCAGTAGTAAGTGACATCATATGAATCGTGATGTCACTGCACAAATGATATGAATTATACAATTTGCATTAATCTAACGCAGTGGCTAATGAAGAATCCTTTCTACAGTGAAGCAGCTTTCCTACATACTCTATAAAGTATTGAGAAATTTCATTTATGTCAGGATTTTTGTCAGTGAAATAGCAATAGCATCCATGGGAATTCAAGCTGGCAAACTTGGATACAGCACTGTCTTATTGAGGACTGTCAAACAATTATCTACAATGCATAGTCTTCAAACATGTTCTCTCAGCTACACCAGTTCAGTGGAAATAGAGTTGGATTGAGTGTACGAAGGGATACATAAATAACCCAGCTATTTCTTTCCTTTGAAGGAGAGAATTGTGTATGCTACAAAGTTTGCAACTGAGCCTTTAAATCAGTGTTTTTCAAATGTGGCAACCTTTAAGATGCCAGCTGGGAATTCTGGTAGTTGAAGTCCACATACCCTAAAGTTGTCAAGTTTGAAAAAAGAAACTTCTCTAAATTGTCCTTCGACCTCAACTGTGGCAGAAGCCTATTGCTAGTTTTGAAGTACTGTAAAGATTCCACTGCCCATCCATTGGCTTCTTAGCCTCAGATAATGAAGGCTTGTGGTAGGAAGACTCACGTGGCTGTCATTCTTTCATCCTGGAATGTGACAAAGGCCATGTCCAGGCGCTTGAGAGCAATCCGGCTGCGTTCAGCATTAAACTCATCTGTCAGTTTTTCTTCTAGCTCCCCATAGTACTGCTCAGCATCCACCTAATCAAAAAGTAAATTTACTTCTTTTTTTTGTCATTGATTTTAAAGTGTTAGCTAGAATACATGCTGGGTGGGGTCAACAAACTTCCTATATTCTCCCAGAGGCAGCTTTTATTGGTTGTCTCTCCAAATAATGAGAAAGAATGTGAAATAATATTTGATGGTGTCATCCAAGGATTTCCACCAAGAGGATAAACTTCTGCTTCTACTGATAAGAGAATCTATGACCAGACTCATAACAATATTAGCAAGCCAGAAAAAAAAACTCTTGGCTATTCCAGGAAGGTGTGTCAATGCAAGGGGGAGAGAGGAACTGCAAGCCTTTCTGACAGACACATGAAAAAAGCAGCAACAACCATATCAAGTAAGTGACAGCTTAGTAACAGGAAGAGATGTCAGATTATAATGTCCTCAAAATGGTGCTAAGGAGAGCAGAATTTCAGAAAAGGTACTTTATACCATCTATAAAGTTTGTACTGAGCTGAGAATTGCTTTGGGAGACCTATAATAACATAGAGAGGAAAATGTTATTTTAATAACCATAATTTATTCCTGACTTTAGTGCAAGTCTGAAACTTAGGGCCACTTTTAAATACCATATGTACCTGAACTGATCAGACATTTTTCTCTTTTTGCTTTTTATTGTTTTTTTTTACTACCAGGATATTCAAATAACTCCCTTTATACATTTGCTAAACAGATGAATAGTACTGGCATTCAGGTTCCCATCTTGGTCATCTTGGTCATTCCTTTTGGCTAACTCTCTAGACAACTTTACTGTTATTGGGATAAAAGCAGGGGAGATCCTTTTCTCTGTAACTATCTCCAGAAAACCTGACCCGTCATGATTTCTTTCCAGAGTGAAAAGTGACATGTTTTTACTTGTATGGTCCCTTGATAACGTTCTGAGGAGACAATCACTGAGCAACTCCCAGAATTGAAGCCCCCCTTGATTTCATTGAGGGCCACATCAGGGTTGTGTTTGACCTGGGGGGGGGGAAGCTCAATGTCACTCATGTCGGGGGCACCTGTGGTGGCCTGGGAGGGGCTGGAGAGATTGATCCTTCCTTTTCTTTTTCTTTCTCGCTTCCTTCTCCTTTTTTCTTCCTTCCCCTCTTTCCTTCTTTTTCCTTCCTTGCTCTCTTCCCATCTTTTCTTCTTTTTCTTTCCTCTTCCCCTTTCTCCTTTCCTGTGCCTCCCGGGCCCCATTTTCGGCTGTGATGGCCTCCTGCAGCCCTCTTTCAGCAAAAATGGGGCGGGGGGGGGGACCACACTTGCCCTCCCAGACCGTGTTTTTGGCCGTGGTGGCCTTCTGCAGCCCACTGCCAGTGAAAATGGGGCCTGGGGGGGAGGCTAAGTGTGGCCCCACTGGGCTCCATTTTCACTGGCAGAGGGCTGGAGGCCGTCACAGCCAAAAACAGGGCCCAGGGAATGCACACTGTCTTCCCAGGCTCCATTTTCACTGGCAGAGACACTGTGGGTCAGTCCTTTGCTGTTTTTAGGGTAGCCGCATGAGCCAGTTCTAAGCACCCCGCGAGCCAGATCCAGCCCAGGGCCTTGAGTTTGACATCCCTGTCCTAGGTGAACGGGATGACAGAACTGGGCATTCAGCTTTCTTTTTGAGCTGGGCTATTATTTCTTTTATGGTCGATATGTGACATTGAAGGAAACTGGCTCTAGCCCAGATCACAGACTGGCAGCATATACACAGCAATGAGGGGAACATAAGAATCAAAGTTCCCAGTGCTGATTTTTTAGGATCAGTTCATATCTTCATATTCTTTGTACCTCTTCAAAGCCACAAATACGGCAGCAGAAAATTCGAGAACAAGGATGGATTTTGATCATAATCTTCCCCTCCTTTTGGGCCTTTGTTGTGAAGTAAAGCCTTCCTTTCATTGCCTTGCGCCTGGAAGGTACAAATTTAGGGGGGGAAATGTTAATGCAGCCATCCATTTCATTACGACACCTTTACGAGCACTTTTCCAAATCTCGTCATTCTTACAAATGAAAATTTCTGGCACTTTTGACTTGGAATGAAATTGTAAGAATATTTTCTAGGAACAATGGTGAAGACCATAATGGACCAAATCAAGTTGAATGAGGCTACCGGAATTCCTAAGTTTGATCTTGTGAGTCCCTCTCTTTTGCTGATGTATAATTATACTAAAGATAATGTTTGGAGATATCATTCAGAAAATGGTATATTTTATGATGGCATGAAAGTTGATGAACAATGCCAATTGGCAGGAAGGGCCCCTTTGATTAGAGCACCCCTCTGATGATTTCCAATTTGGCTGACTTTAAAAGGCAAGTAAGATAAATTCATGGACCCTCTCATTGGTTGTTGGTTTTGATGGTATTATTGGAAAACATTCTTGTACTCAGTTAAGATGGCTGCCATCTGATAGGCATATGATTAGCCACTGTGAGAGACAAATGCTGGGGCAAGCAAATTTTGATCTGATTTATTGTGTTTATTATGCGTTTAAATTAAAAATATTGCTTCTTTCCTTCTTTTGTCATACAAGGACAATATATGCCTATTGAATATTTGAGCCATAGTTGCATTCCTTTCCTAATATTGTAAAAGACTTCAGCTAATCCCTTAGTGCTCAGGGTGTATCTAAGCAAGTGGGGTAGACTATTTGGGGGTGGGGGGAAAGTTTCAAACCAAAAATGCTTAGAGAAGTCAATATTTTCACATTCTAATAAGAAAATAGTACCTTATTTAATTATTCACTGTATTTTATATTTCTCCCGAGTATTGGAAAAACCTTTCACAGCATTAAAACACATAGCTGTAAATACATTTCAAAATATAACAACGTTTAATTACATATTCTTGAAATGGCCATATTTTTGTTACTTCAGAAATGAGAAATTATATGAGAAATAAAGGGAAGAGTACATTTCTGCTTTATTTTAGTGGAAATTCATATATTTAATTTGGATTCACCTCATTTTCTACTTCTAACTGGTATTAATATTGAAAAACCTGGTATTAATATTGAAAAACTTTAAAAGCCTATAGGAAATTGGGAGTAGCTTTTTGAATTGCGGCCTTTCTTTTACGGCAGCGGCTTCAAAAATGGAAGCTGCCTTTAAGCACAGAACAAAAGACTGACTGGGCACTGAAAAGGACTTCAACTTGTTATTGAAACAAGTGTCTCAAATGATGAGATTCTCTCCCTGTTCCAGAATTCAGATTTGATGGCAAGGTTTTTAATTTTTTAAAAATGAGCTTGATACATCTTTTCACCAAGACCAGTACTGCTGATTGCTTCTGTAGTCCTGTTTTCAGAAAACTGTAAAAGATTTATGGCTTTACATGCATTTCCAGATATATTATCATTTTTTGGTTCCTTTTAAGTCTTCAATTTCATTGGCAAGATTTTTCAGAAGTTGTTTGCCATCTCCTAGTTCCTCAGGTTGAAGCCAAAACTTGCCCAAAGTCAACCAAGCTGGTTTTGTGCCTAAGGCAAGTAGCATCTCACTCTCTATTTTTAGCTTGGGGCCTTCAACCGTTACACCAAGAAATTTTTGAGAAATTTGTATTATTTAACTACAAAGTATTCAATCTAGTGAAGTATAGCCTGAAATGCAGGGTTCTTTTAAAAGAACAATAAAATAAACTGAACCAATATATTAAATATATATTTTGATAAGGTTTTTTAAAAATAGCAGATTAATATAGAAACTGAAGTGAATTACACGGATTAAAAACAATGCAAAAATGACAGGCAGTGGAAACAGAATTAATGGGTTCTATTGTGACACTTGTATTATAAGGGAGTAAATACATGGATAAAGCATACCAGGTTAAAAAAAAAATTTCTTGAACAAAGGACAAGAAACTTTATTTTTGTCTCTTTACCAGATGAAGAAAAGTGATGATATTTTTTACAGTTGTGGTGATTTTTTTTTAAATCAAAATTCCCTCTAGCATGATCTTGATGCTCAGAGATCCCAGGACATTTTCCTCCACACATTCTAAGGGGCTCAGAATAACTCAGCTCTAAGCAAGACCTTTGAAAGCCTACCTCTCTGAATCCAGCTTCATCAATCTGCGGACATCAGAGCAAAATTGGACACCGGTCACTGTGCAGCTTGGATAAGCCTCACTATCAGAAGAGATAATCAAAATCTTTAATTGAACAAAGATCTAATATTGCTTGTAGAATGTGCTTAGAAAAATGGGCATCCCAGAACATTGTTCTCACACAAACCCCATATACGAATCAAGAAGTCACAACATGAACAGAATATGGCAAAACAGTCTGGCTCCAGGAAGATAATTGAGACAAAAATGTGTATTTTCCACTTATTTATTCAACCTCTATCAAGGGTCCCCAACCCCTGGTCTGTGAATCGATACCGGTTCATGGCCCACTGGGAACCAGGCTGCGCAAGTGGTGGGCAAACACGCAAAGCTCAGTTTGCACAAGGGACAGATGTATGTGCAAAACCATCCTCTCTTCCCCCACGTTAGTGCTGCCCTGCTGCTGCTCCTGGTCCACCCAGCTGGAAGGATTGGTGACCACTCACCTACATGATGAATGTACAGTATAGTATAATACTGTATATATAGTATATTAAGATTGGAAGAAGATGAGTGTTGCTTTAAAATTGGAGGAAGAAATGTTAATAGCTACACTATGCTGATGATGCAAATTTGAAAATGCAAAGAATCTGCAAATGCTGGCAATAAAAGTCAAGTAATACGTTTAAAAAAATGAGACTAAATTGAATACAAAGTCTAAATTAATGACATCAGTTACAATAGTCGGGCTTAGAAATGATGATGAAGGTATCAAAATGATACATGGGTTTTGCCTTTTTAGAATCAACAGTAAAGTAACAAGCAGTCAAGAAATATGCCGTATACTAAATTTGACAGAGAAGGTATGAAGGCACTGAGAAAGTTATTCAAATGCCAGGATGTGCCTATCTGCACAAAGCTCATAACTGTGTGAAGCATGATATTCCCTGTGACACTCCACTCACGAGAAATAAAAGTTGAACTTTGATGGAGCAGAAGAGAAAAAGCATTGACACACTTTTGAACTTTGATGTTGGAGAAGACTCCTGAGAATACCGTTCTTGGCTGCACTATGGACAATAAATAGGTCTTCAAAGAACCGAACCCAGAGTTCTCACTCAAGGCACCAATGATTAGGTCTGAATTATCCTAATTTGGATGTATTAGGCAAACACCCAGCTATATAAAGAAGGCAAGAAGGCTCAAATGCTGGAAAAGGAGGAAGAAGAGAGAACCAGCAGCAAGGATAAACTCAATTACAGTAATGATGGGTACACAGTTGGAAGACTTAAAGGACCATGTTACGGAAAGATCATCATGGAGAAAATGCATCTATATGATTGATAAGAAGCAACACCATTGATGGGTCATAATTAATCAATCAATGTCCAAATCAACACTCACAAAAGGAAATGCTTCATGAAAAGGGGAAAATAATGGTTAGTTATTGTAACTGATATTATTTGAGTTGGCATACTTTTAGAATTAAGAAATAGAACTCCACCTAGGAAAGAAAGGTGGATGGGGTGACAAAAACTGAGTTGTTCTTTTGATTGATTAATTACAGATTCCACCTTCCCTCCCATCCTACCCACACCCTTCCCGTCTTTAATTGGATCATAGTGTTTGGCTGGTTTTGAACTTATTTATGTTTTTAGTATATTTATACTTATTTTTCATGATTGTAAGCCACCCAGATGGGCAACCAATATACTGTATATTTTCAATAAATAAATAAACAATCAAATAAAGTCCTAATTATAATTTTGTTATGAATTTTTCACAGTAGTTTCTATGAAACACATAGATAGCAAGCTAAATTATTTTCAGGCAGGTTTTGTTAGTCAGAAACAAGGAAGCCACCCTCCCTAAAGCTGCATCCCTATGAATCAAATGTTCAGCCTGTAAAGCTTCACGGACATTAATAGTTATGCCTGCATTGTCTGGCACTTAGATGCTTGTGATAGCCTGACATAATTCAGGTGAACTGCTCTCTAATGATATCTGACCCAATCCATATGATAGCAGTGACTCACTCTGCAAAATGAAGCATGATGGAAACGGGCTCTTGGCGAAAGGCTGACCAACTCACCCAAGCTAATGTGAATGTTCTATATCAGGGGTCTCCAACCTTGGCAACTTTAAGACTTGTGGACTTCAACTCCCAGAATTCCTTGGCCAGCTTTGCTGAGGAATTCTGGGAGTTGAAGTCCACAAGTTGCTAGCTGAGGAAGTCCACAAGTTTTAAAGTTGCGAAGGTTGGAGACCCCTGTTCCATATAGATCTCTCTCTCTCCAATTGGTTAGAGAGATTTGGAAAGAAAATAAAGAGGATAATATCCTGATTGAAATGAAATTCTAATACTGTGTGCAGCATTATATGGTCGAAGTGAATTCTAGCTATGATGAAAAAGCATACAGATTACTAGTGTGTTGCACAGAAACGATCCTGCAATCGACAACTGGTTCAAACAGCTTCCAGGTGAGCTTAAAGAATATGAGAAATTCTAAGCAGGAAGGAATGCTACATGAGCATAATAATCCTACCTTATGAGTATGTATATGCCAACAGCTTTATGTCAAGCTGGGAGAAAGTATGAAGTGGTATACTTCAGGGCTCCATGCTCGGCTGTGTACTGACAGTCCTCGACTTACAACAATTCATTTAGTGACCTATGAATGGCACTGAAAAAAGTGACTTATGAATGTCTTTCACAGTGACCATCTTTGCAGCATCCCCATGATCCTATGATCAAAATTCAGATGCTTGGCAACTTGTTCTAGACCGCTGCTGTGTCCCAAGGTCATAGGATCACCTTTTGTGACCTTCTGACAAGCAAAGTCAATGGGGAAGCCAGGTTCATTTAACCACTGGGTTACTGGGTTTATCAACTGCAGTGATTCACTTAACAATGGTGGCAAGAAAGGTCATAAAATGGGGCAAAACTCACTTGACAAATGAAACTCACCTAACAACAGAAATGTTAGGCTCAGTTGTGGTCGTAATTTGAGGGCTACCTGTACTGTTGAATGTATTTATTAGTGACTCCTCACCCATGGTTTTCATTAGCTAAAAGAGGAAGAGCATGTTTATGAAAAAAGAATAATACCGAGCATGTAGGTTCTACTTACTGGAAGTGTTTGATAACAAGAGATGTATCTGTGATCTCTTTGGGAATCTTGGTAACCATCAATGTCCGGGCCAGCTAAAAGTCAAGAAAAGAAGAAGTCAGAAATGAAGACACTTGAATAATAGTTGTAACATTTGTCAGTTTCCAGTATTTTGCACTTAAATTCTATTATTATTTGTACTCATTATTTTCTTCTGGTGTAGGACTACAGACTTGAATTACAAGAATATATTTTGCTTAAACATGGCAAGAAAATATTTAACGGTAGGAACAGTTTAACAATAGAAATGGCTAATTAAAATATTGCTATGTCACTCTCATCCTGCATCATGCACATTTTTCCATATCTACTCCTATTTTATGACCCTGAGTAGTAAATTGCTTATGCGGTGAAAGCTTACTGCTCTCAGAACAAAATTTATATTGTGAAACTGAATCGCAGTATTTAAATAATCTCCAACCAATATTTGGACAAATTTCTTCCCTGGCCTGTTGTAACAAATGATGAATGTCTAGATCTATATTTTTAAGTCTTGACAAGTTTAAGATATGTGGACCAATTCCCAGAGTTCCCCAGCTAGTATGCAGTCCACACATCTTAAAACTCGCCAACGTTGAGAAACTCTAGAGTATCCATCTCTGATAGGTCAGAAAAGAAGGTGTCAATGAGGCCACTGCAATTATTACCTTTTCATTTTCCTTATACTCTAATTGGATGGAATGATGAGTCATGCAGAGAACAGTGATGATGAAATAGAGGAGAGCAAAGATACTATGTAGCCACAAGAGACGGTCACTGCAATAGAGCAAAAAGGAGAGACATTTTCAGACGGGAAAAAACAGATATCTTTACCAGAAAACAAGATAACTACTATTTTCTAGAACAGGGGTCTCCAACCTTTTGGACCTCAGGGACCACCCAACTCATAATTTTAGATCCCAGGGACTACTGGTTCTGTGGGCGTGGCCTAATTTATGGATGTGGCTTGGTGGTCATGTGACTGGCTGGGCATGACTTGTATGTAAATATTATAAATATTTATATAAATATTGATTTTTTTTATAAAAAAAGACCAACTTTTACCCAAAATCAGGCAAAGCAGGCAGGCAGATTGAGTTGCTCACAGAATCACAGACTCACTCAGAGATCTATCTATCTGCCATTGACTAGCTCAGTCTGTCACATAAAATTTGCTTGCAAGCAAACTCATAAAATTTGCTTGCAAGTAAACTCACAAAATTAATTCACAACACACCATGTATTAAATATTGAATTTTTTATTTAAAAAAAGCAACTTTTATCAAAAATCAGGCAAAGCAGGCAGATTGAGTTGCTCACAGAATCATTCAGTGATCTATCTATCTGCCATTGGCTAGCTCAGTCTCTCAAATTTGCTTGCCGTGAGTCTGCACTGAATTTGCTTGCAAGCAAACCTTCAGTCCTAAGGGAGGTTCGGCTGTGCTTAGCTAGAAAGCAAGAAATCCAACCATTTCCTGCTTCCTAGATAATCTAAATCTCCCAGCACAGCAGAACAGATGATGGTCTGAAAAAGGAAAAATAGCAATTTAGCAGACAAGTTTGCCGGTAAGGAGTGGGCGGGGAGGGTTCCCCCGGGCCATGTGGGCTGAGCAGCCTTGTGTTTCTGCGCAGCCTGGATTAATTGCTTTGGGGGGGTGCTCTGGGGGTGAGATTTCTCTGCGGCCCACCAAAATTTTCTCACGGCCCACCAGTGGGCCGCAGCCCACCGGTTGGCAACCGTTGTCCTAGAAGATGCCAGCCATTCCTAGTTTTCAGCCATTGATTCAAAACCATTTTATGGTGACTCTGTAAACCACTTAGAGAGGGCTGTAAAACACTGTGAAGCAGTACATAAGTCTAAGTGCTATTGCTATTTTTCTATCTGTAGTATAGAAAGCTGGCTTCACCATTGCATATTGCCATAAAATCATGATTATGGAAGAAACTTTAGTCAAGCAATGACTTAAAGGAAAACAAATCATTTTAATGCTTGCAAGGCGGAGCACCAAAATAGAAATTTCATCTGGCATTAATTCAAAATGACAAAGCTATATTATAGAAATCAGTAGTGCAGAATTTGTCAAAGACAGTAGCTCTTTTTGAGAGAAAGCACAGTTGGACAGAAATTTATATTTATTATTTGTAGCTTACAGTTGAACGTTGTTCACCTTGATGAAAGCCACCTATTTCCATATGTACAGTGTCAAAATAAATAGGGATTTATTGAACATTTATTTATTTATGTATTTGCCACAAATAAATGCCATCATTATGCCATCCTTATAAACAGTGACTAATTCAACTCTGAAGAAATGGAATGACGTACTCTTTGGGAACATTTGCAATTGTGGTTCGGCCAAAATTAGCTGGATTTTTTCCTGAAAGAGGCAAAGGAGACAGAAGTTAGTATATCTTAAACAAAATGTGTTTTATTCTACTCAGCACAGCATTGTACTCACAATGCCTCTAAAGTTGTACAGTGGTATTTTCAGTGGTGGGATTCAATTTTTTTTACTATCGGTTCTATGGGCATGGCTTGGTGGGTGTGGCGTGGTGGGCATAGCTTGGTGGGCATGGCAGGGGAAGGTTACTGCAAAATCCCATTCCCTAACCTGCTTTCCAGCTCTGACTCTTCCGTGCAGGGAAACAAAAGAAGACCCAGCCAATCAGCTGGAACTTGGGAGGCAAAGAATAGATGGGGGCGGGGCCAATCAGAGGTGGTATTTGCCTGTTCTCCAAACTGCTCAAAATTTCCGCTAGCAGTTCTCCAGAACTGGTCAGAACCTGCTGAATAATCTCTGGGTATTTTAAAGCTTTTAGAATACTGGGGTTGAAGGGCTACATACCGAGGAGATCACCAGAGAAGTTGACGGGAAGGATGACAGCTACAGACAGCACACAGACAATCAAGAGTAACACCAACAGATGCCGCTGGAAAGAGAGGTAGGTTGTGGCATCAATTCCACACTTGCTTTGAATTTCTTCATCTCTGAGAAAGAAAGAAAGAAAGAAAGAAAGAAAGAAAGAAAGAAAGAAAGAAAGAAAGAAAGAAAGAAAGAAAGAAAGAAAGAAAGAAAGAAAGAAAGAAAGAAAGAAAGAAAGATCAACTCAATGAGGTCTCCTTCTACAGTTTTCCTTTCATCCAGAAATGGAAAAAAAAAAGATTGACTATGTAGTTTTCCTGCCAGTATAGAAGAGATGATATGCTCAACAGAGGGATTTTATTTCTGTGCTTTATGCTTTATAAAATTAGGACTGTGTGGCAAAAAAAAAAGTATTAGCAGGGCTCTTTAGTCCGCAAGCATACACACCCAAAGAGGAATTCCATCCCTTACTATCTTGGGTATCTTCAAATTAAAGAAGGCAATAAAACAAACAAAATCCAGCTATTCCATCTAAAACCTTAAAACAAGTTTTTTTTAAGTGGAATCTTTTTAGCATAAAAGGGCTTGAGATGAGTTCCCCGTATAAAAAACAATAATAAAGTGAAATAGACACAGTATATACAATAGTAATTCAATGTAAAATTACTTTTTCTGAGCAATTGACACCTCAAATACCGGAACCACCTTACCTAACCTGGTGCTCTCTAGATGTGATGGATTGCAACCTTCCTTATCTCCAGCCAGCAGGAAACCTGCAGTTCAACACATCTAGAGGGCACAAGGTTGGGGAAGGATGGGTCAGAGTGATAAGAAAACAGCATTGATTAATTTGCTCTCAAAATTTTTATTCTATTTACTTCGCCATATCCCCCTTCTTTTCTAGATTTTCATACATAAATTATTCTCTTCCTCTTATACATCTATCTGCATTCTTTTTTAAAAAAAATACAGATGAGGAACATATTTCTAAAAAAAAAAATGTACAGGTTTTCCTCAAGTCTGGCATTTCCAAATGTTTTAGAACATGAATTTTACATGCCTTTGGATTTTTTTTAAAAAAAAATGACAATTATGTTATAAATGCAGTTCCATGAGAAGTCCAAAATATCATGATGTTCCAATTTGCATATTAAACGCTGAGGTATTGATTAGGAAGAAGAGGGAACTAAATTATTTTCTCAACACTACTATTTATTATTATCATTATTTTAAATTCCATTTTAGCGAGACTTTTTTTTAAAAAAATATATCAAATTTAGAGACCTCCCATCTCACTCTCAGAGTGACTCTGGTAGTGTGAAATTAAAAATATAAAAAACCATATAAACGTACTAGATATTAGTAAAAGGCAGCTTTTTGTAACAAACGAACCCTTCCTTTTCCCTTGAAAATAATATCCTTATGACACAGCAATAGCAAAGCGACTGGGAAGATTTCCTCTTTTTGAAGAGGCAACTGAGTGGGAGGAGAAATTAATTCCTTATTGAATTTCCAATTTCTTTCTCTTTCTTTTAAAATACCAGCATGGAAGGGAAACATAATTTTCATCATAGCTTAGCTGGCTAACTGGGGAATTCAGGCTTCAGATTGTAGAGGATAAAGTTTTCATCATAAAACGCCACGTGCATCTTTGATTTTACAAGTGCAAAATGAAAAAGGGGTTTTCTGCTACCTAATGATAACCAAGTAATAATAATATCATTCATTTATTTGTTATTCCATTGATGACTTAGTAGTTGTTTTTTGATTAATTCTTTGATTAAAACATGGCAATTCAGGAGCTGGTTTCAGTTCAAAACATTCAAGAGAAGAGACAGCTCAGGCTACTGGTATCAGCCACTCATTTCCAAGTAAAACAAATCAGTGATGCTTTTGTCGACTCTGACCACTAAAATCAAGAGCAATGTATATACAAGTTGGATTATCTATCAACAACTGCTGTTGCTACACTATTCAATTTCAGCTATCTGGGCTCTCTTTGCCAAACAATAGGTCCAGCCCCATCAAAGTCATGTTAATCCACCATCATAATGCCCCTGTAATTATATGCAGTGCATATCTATTCAGAGTAAGCCTCTGTGAATTCATTGTTGCCGATTCTCAGCAAGAATAGAAAAAAACCCATCAGTTTACATAGAGAAGTATAAAGAAGGAGCAAACAGTCCATGGCTGAAAATGTCATCACAGTAATCACTCTATCACATAAAAGATGGAGCAGATTATGAACTTTTATCAATATCGCCATAGTGGTATGTACTCACTTCATCTGGTAAATTGAAAGAAGCCAGGAGCAGAATCCCTAGGAAGAAAATTGAAGAATTTCAATGAGCTAGCTAAAATCAATTATAGAAGAAAGAACTATCTATGGCTGTTTGTTCCCCCTAGATATGGTGCAAGAGTAAATTAACTGAGTGTGTTATTAAACTTGTCTTAAATAAGTCTAGAATAATTATGGGTCCATAAATATTGTAGGATTTCAGCCTCCTTTAATGTCAAGTAACGTTGGGCAAAGGGACACAGGAGTTGAAATTTAGCAACATCTGGGAGGACATAGATCTCTCAATAAGAAATAAGAAAGGTACAGTAAGGAACTTGGCCATGAGATCAGCATTCAGACTTAAAAGGATGTAGAATTTTAAAAGTGATTACTATGTTGGAAATAAACCATTAGGAAGGCATGTTGTCCAAATGTCTTTTATCTTTTCCAGACATTTTTGAGGAAAAAAATATTGTACAAGTGATCAAAAGCAGGAGTTTCAGGCAGATGGACCATCTACCTCACTGAACTTGGCAATTATTTTGATCTAACAACATTATTAAATTAATAGCAGAAAATAGCAGCTTGACAAGAGCAGCAATGACAATCACTTTTGCCTTATTGGGAAATTCACATGTCCATAAAGCCAATGGACATCATTCACTCTGTTTTTGCTTTCCTATATCCAGTTGATGGAAATGGGCAAATAGGGATAGGAATTACCTTTGTCATATGGTTTTTTCCTCCCCCCACAGCACCTCTCAAACTTACCACATCTTTGTTGTCAGCCTCCAAGGGGCTGCTCTCAGAAGGAGACTTCTCTTTTTCACTTTGTTCTCCATAGAAGAGGGATGTCAGGCTTCCCATTGATAGTAAGTAAATGGCAGGGAGAAGAAAAAGGGGGAATGTGGAGAAAAATCAGAGGAAGACAGTGTAAATTAGATATAGAGGAGGAAAAGAAAAAGAATGGCGAGAGGAATATTATTCCAATCAGGCTACTTTTAAATATCTACAGTTCCACAACCTCAGGACATCAACAAGCCTAAAAGAAGAAGAGTGCAACATTCCAAGAAGATATTGATGCTCAAGAAAGTTTAAGAAAACATATGCCTGCCTTCTCCAGTAAATGTTAGAGCTTTAGTGATTTTGGAAGAAGCGTGTAGGTGCCACTGTAGAGAATATGGAACTGGAAGCCAGAAGAACATATGCAACCAAAAGTGTTTTAATGAACTGAAGACTTTGGGATTGTACACAAACACACATATATATCCTTGTTCTTGCCTGAACCACTTGAATCAGGGAAACAAAATCTTAGGTGCATGATTGATTGCTAGAAAATTCAGTCGTATGAATTCTTTAAACTATCTTGGATAACATTCTGGGGCCTCTTATTGGAGCCGAGAAATCAGAAGCCTCTGGTTTCCTTTATTGGATTCTGATATATGCTCTGGATTCTCTATCTTTATTGCTTTGTAACTTTATTATTTCATTCTGCATGAGAATAGACAGTTTGCTTCATGATGAGATCATGATGTCAATTATTATATTGCCCAATTATATTAAAGGCACTAATAATTTAAGATGAAATACAAGATTAATGGCAAAGATGTTTTCCAGTTTGCTTATGCAGCTCTTATCTCCGGAATAAAATAAAAGAATAATACGAATTTGCCTAACAACTGTGTTTACTATTTAGAGTAGCTACAGCAAATTATCCAAGGAAGAGAGTACATATGTACACCTGGAAGGTAATGTTTCAATCAGAGGTTACATTGTATGAGGCAAACTAGTAAGAATGAAATACATGGTACAGAATGGAATTACCCATAGTTCAACTGTTCTGAGAGCTCCAACAGATTATCTGGCCTGCTGGTCTTAGGTGTGCTAGCAACAATTCCTACTTTTTAGAAAGGTTTAAATTCCCATTTCTTTATTGCTTTCTCTAATTTTTCTGCTCTTAGGAAGCAGAAGCTGCCTTATGCTACTTAAGCATCTCTGTGTATATAATGGCTAGGATGGTGAAGCAGTGATGTTGCTCAACTGTAATTTCCAATAGTCCTTTGAAAGTACTTTTTTATCTAGTACACCACCATCTAAAATGAATTTCTGCTTTTTTTTAAACTGAAGATGCTGGAAATTACATTTGGGAACTTCTGCAGGTGAAGCATACTCCCCCCCCCCCCGCCAATTAGGGTTGATCATCTACGAAGGTATAGCAAACCCCACCACGGAAACCATGATTTAACAGGTTTGGATTTCATGGACTGTATGATGGGAATTTTTTCTCCTCCTCCACTATTGCTCTTTGCTGTACTAGACATTTGGTCCATTAGTTAGAGGGGGGAAAAGTGCACCAAACATGTTACAGCATTGCTATTGTGTATGGCTGAGGTAATGCAAGATGCTTACAGAATAACTCATAACCTAAACATCCCTTTGCTCATAGGTAGCATTTCACAATTAGGCTAAGACCAGAATTTAAAGCCCTCATTTCTGGACTCCCATTTCGATATCTACAATCTTTGGCACTTACTTGAAAATTTTATCAGGAAAAGGTGTACCATAAACAGGAGAAGGAACAATGCCCAGAGCCAAATCAAAACACCAGTGGAAAAGTAACAGGCTATTTTTATACAAACCAAGGATTAATAAATCTTACATAATAGCATTAAGAATGGCCAGATCAGAATTTCAGTAAGAGTAATTTCAAAACTGTAGCATTCATGAAAAGGACACCCACTACATATTATAAAAATGTGATCCTCTAGAATAGATTAAAAGTATGGATATTTGAAAATACTACTTTAAGGTAATGGTGAAGGAACAGCATTTTAAATATTAGACGATGACCCTAACCTTCCCATTCACCCAACGTTAAACAATCAAATGAAACCCATCATTATCAGACAGACAATATAATATAGATTAACAACCAAGAGAATATTTTAAAGGAGTTTACCCACATTACCAGATGACATTCAAGCATCCTGTGAAAGAAAGAAAAGCCACTGCAAAATGAGAAGGAAGTGAATTAAAACTATCAGGAGCAGAATGTCTATCAAGATTCTCAGTTATCTGGGTCATGGTTGTCCCTAAGGTGCTTTTTCAAAAGGCAACTGGACTTTCTTCTTTTAATCCCATTGAAGACATTTCACTTCTCATCCAAGAAGAACTGAAGAAGCTTCTTGAATGAGAAGCGAAACGTCTTCGGGGGAGCGGGGGCAGAAAACGAAGTCCAGTTGTCTTTTGAAAAAGTATCTCTGGGACAATCAAGAGCAGATTCACCCTACTTGACATCTGTAACAAAATTAATCCAATCTGCCTCCACCACTCACCCACCTTCTCTTCTGCCTTCTTTGGAAGAGAGAAAGTATCACTGATATAATTTTATTTTGTCTTGACCCTGGATCTTTTTAGTTTCAAGGCCAAGAACTCCTTGAAATACAGATGGAGAAACTTTTTCCAGTTGATTTGGAGAAAGCGAATTGATCCTGGGTGGAATTGATAGATTCTCAAATGCTCCTTTAAAAGCAGTGGTGATTCTTTTTTCTTTCACAAGAATTCTCAATTCCCCAAGCCTTCCAATCCCTTATCACCACTGTATCATTTACTTGTAGGAGTCCCATGTGCTTGGAGGCAAACGGCTGATTAAAAGAAGAACAACAACAGTAGTCAGTGGGAGGGAAACCTTCAGAGAGCAATAACAAGCAATATTACTGTGAGATGTATAGGATGAAGACAAACATCTCAAAAAGGATCAGAATTAGAGAGTGTTTTGTTTTCTTCCAAGAAAGCTGTTTTGATTATTCCTACATTACAGGGAATAGAAGGAAGCCTATTAAGGCTAACATATAGCTACCATTTAGGGAAATCATTCCTGAGGCAAGTTATCAACCAGAGATTTCTTGGCTCATGGTTCACTGATTTATTTCACCAATTAGCTATATGATCTTCTGCCCAAACGTATCTTACACCTTGCTCTTCTAAGATCTTTACTAATATATGCTTTTTAAGTCTACTCCTCCAGACATCTTAATTTTCAAAACCTAGGCTGGTGGCAATCCCAGTTGAACTTTTCAATACCACATATCAATGGATAAGGTAAGAGGTTACATTTTTTTTTTTCCATATTCCATCAGTGGTATAATTTCAGCCAGTTCTTTGATATTGTCACAGTCTGGTTTTGTTGCTGTTCCTGTCTTTACAATTGTGCAGGTTTACTATATTGATGGAATATAGAAACATTTTGAATAATCTATTTGAGAAGTTGTGGCTTCTCCATCTCTGGAGGCTACAAAGAAAAGATGAAACAGCTACTTCTTGAGGATGATTCAACTGGTTTTCATGCACATAAGAAAGAGATGGATTGTTTTCATGGTCCCTTTCAATTCCACAATTCCATGATTTTGTCTTATGTTACAAATGCTAGGAAGGTGCTTTGGATTGTTCCTCTTTTAAAAGGGAAATTTAAGGGAATTTCATTATTTTTTCTTGTACTGAAACTAAGGGACATTGCAAACATTTTTCACAGTCTACTAGTCATGTAGAGTTAGTGACACTTTTTCTATTATTATGCCAGGTTTTCATAATACTGCCCTTGTACATTATATTCTAAACAGAGCACCCTACTGATAATTTTGGATTGGAAGCCATCTCCAATCTGATACCCTCCAAAATGCTTGGATTGTTAGTGGAAGGTAATACTTAAGAGTTGCAGTCACAACACATCTGTGGGCATTAAACTGGAAAAGTCTGGTAAAGAGCAAATTATTTCACTATTTTCTGTGCCCTTCAGCTTTTTCATCCTTTTAGAAAGGTTAGATTTTACCTGTCATTATCCATCAGCAAGGCAAGGCGCCCATAATCCCAAGCTGCTTTCCGAAGGCAGGAAAAGATGAAGAGAAGTACCTGCACTTGGAGAGAAGCACTATCAGCTTAATGATCTTCTTCACTAAGTAAATACCTCATTCCTTTTCCCCAGTGACAGAAATTGCAATAAATGATAAAACAACAATAATAACTGCAGAGTGGGATTTGCTTCCATAGATTTTCAGAGCTCACTTAAATACTAAAACTTGTTTTTTGAATCGCTTTCTAGGTTTGCAGAACTGACTGAATTGTAACCAGGCTGCATTCATATGACTTGTTAACCATATCACCACCAAAGAAACTTACTAAGGTTAACCTTAATGAGGCTTAACGTGTGGTATAAATGCATCCATTAAGTTTTTAACTGATCTCGTTAGATATGTTGCATACACCTGCCAATATAAATTAAAGATGGAAAAATAAACATGTAGGAATTGTATATGCTAATTCTGTCTTGCATAGCATGAATATATAGGGAATTCACACTAAGATACAAATGTGCCTCTCAGTTGAATTCTGAACTTGAGTTAAGCTGCAGAAAAAGTGCAAAACAATTCAAAGTAAAGATGAACAAGAAATTACGAATTCTCCTGCTAGTTTGTTGAGGTGGTCTCTAGATCAGGAGTCTCCAATCCCTGGACTGCGGCCCACTACCGGCCCATGGCCTGTTTCAAACCGAGCGATGAGAGCGATGAGAAAGCACTTGCGTGAATCAGCCCTCACCATTCACGCGAGTGGAGCTTCATGTGCCAGAACAAGTGCCCTCTGCTTGTGTGTCCTCCACTTGCACAAGTGGGCCCTCTGCTTGCACAAGTAGAGCTTCATGCATGAGTGCAAGTGCCCGCTGCTCAAGCATGAAACTCTATCCACGTGAGTGGAGGACATGCACGACCACTGCTTACACTAATGGAGCTGTGTGCATACCACTCAAACGCCCCCCCTTCTCTGGGCTGGGGCTCAAGGTGGAAAGATTGGGGACCGCTGCTCTAGATTAGGGCTGCCAAACTCATGGCCCTCAGGCCAGATGCATCATGGACTGGCCATGTCCCCCGCCCAGTTTAGCGAAGGGAAGTTTGCTGTCACCTGATTGATTGAATGGGGTTATTCCTATTCAGTACCAATATGAAGTCACACCCCTCTGACTAAAGGCCATATGATGTGTTTGCCATAGCTTTAATATTTAAGGTAGAGGTCTCCAAACTTGGCAACTTTAAGACTTGTGGACTTTGCTGGCTGAAGAATTTTTGGAGTTGAAGTCCACAAGTCTTAAAGTTGCCAAGTTTGGCGACCCCCAATTTAGGGGAAAATATCTCTCTTTGCATTGGTGGATTTTTTTTTCTCAAGAGTTCAAGAAACATATAAGGAAGCAACCAGTGAGAATTATATCAGGGAATGAAGGAGAAAACTGTCATATCACATTCCCCTGTGTTGGATGTAAGGATATACAATTATGGTGATTTATGAACAGATAATAAAGGAAGATCATTTTTTATTTTCTCACTCACCATCCAAAGGAGGAAGTTGAGAGCAAGTACAGTGGGCACACCGCCAAACGGCAGCCCTTGCAAAACAGTGCTGTGGGAACGGGCGCTGAAGCATTGCTCCTCTGTACTGTTGGTCAGAGTATCCAGATACGTGAGAACATTCAGAGAGACGGAACTCGTATCTTCTGGTGAAGATGTGGCCATGATCATGTTGTCCATCTGTAAATCAGAGGGAGTTCTGCTAAAAGTGGATTTAGGGGGAGAGAGAGAAACTAGGCTTCTGAGGCTGGAAATGACCTCTCAAAGAAGACTTTCATATCTGAGGATACGTTTACCCCTCCATAAGCTTGCTCTCTGCTGCGTCATACAGAGATATAGAGATTGAGGGCAGAGGACAGCCAGATCCTTGCTAAACCAGCCTATAGATTTGTCAGGAAGTATGTTAACACTATCTTTTGATGCTAAAGCCAAGATATATTATTCTAAGAAGATTAGACTCCAGAAGTCCAAATGAAAGTAAATATGCCTAAGAACATTTCATGGTCCTTGATCCCAGTTGTGAAAGTGGAAGGGCAATTAAAAAGAATGCTGTTTTCAGCAAATGTATCAGCCTCTGATATCCCCTTATATAGTATCCAGAAACTGGCTCATCCCAGGTTCAGCTGTAAGTCACTGTGATTTGGATTCCCAAGGTGTCTGCTTTTCTCAGGGGAGCCTGACCTGGCACTCTTTTTCCATTAATCTTTTCCCCAGCAATACTTAAGAGCTCAAAAGCTGTGGATCATAGAAGTGAGCTAGCAGGACTCCCTACTCCCTACTTAGAACTTCAGACCAATGTCTAAAGATATACCCGATATACTTGATTCTGCTTCAGCCTCTACCCCCTGCAACGAGGGTTTCTCATCTTCATCCTGACATCTCATTCTTCTCAAAGGAAGAACCCAGGGCAATGATGACAGCCACTTATTAAAATTACAAGTAGACCTACCCCATCAATATTTGAAGAACTGAAGGTGGAGATTAGGAGAGATCCTCTTTACTATCAGTACTTCAGGATTTGGAATCAACATCCCCAGAAATCTCTGTGCTCGCTTTAATGGCATTTCATCCTACAAAATAAAGAAAAAAGAAAGATATAAGGGAAAAAAGCACTTTGAACCACAGTGCTGTTTAGGTTGTCTTTCTGTTTGAATTTTCAAAGTGACTAATATTAATTTTGATTTTGATTTTTGGGGGGCTTCTAATTAAGATTGCAGTTTTGCGATGTTTTGTTAGCTGGCTGGATTTATAAACTTATTTTCCCACATCTTTTGTCTTTGCTATTTTTGATAAGTTGCCTTTTCAGTTCACTTTTTAGGAAAGGTTGGATCTTTAAAATTAAAAATAAAAACACATTCATATTGCAGAGCTTAACAGAAAAAACATTAAGTTAGGGAAACTGAAAAACAAGTGAAACACCACAAAGATAACATTGTGTTTATTCATGATATAAACCAATTTATCAAGACAGGCAGTGGCTGACTTTTATTAGACAGCCATCTATGGGGGAAACTTTAATTTGGACTGTTGCACTGAACATTGATGGTCTAAATGGCCCGTTGCAGCTCTATTATTTTAATTGCTTCTGTTATATACATTGACATTAAAAGGATTTGTATACGTTTAAGACATTATCAAAGAAACATGAGGAAAAACATTACATTGTGATATATTAATGGGTCAGTCAGCTAGAGGCATGTAGTAAAGTGGGTGAATTAAGAATTGGCACTGAGCCTTGTGGAGATGGAGCACCAGTGGATTTACCATATTGGACAGGAATTTGAGAATTGTGGTCCAAAGCCTACTAAAAGATATAGGTTGGGTAAATCTAGTCCAGAGAATTGCAAATGTTAGTTTGATAAAGGACGGAATCAACATGTGGGACTCCAGAGAAATCTTTAAAAAGAAATATGTATTATGTACACTACTTTGCTGCGAGATGAGAAATTATAAGGGCAGCTTCATTGGGCTTGGGCTGCCTTTGTAAAGGGAATACACTGGAAACATGCTTCTATGCAATGATCTTTTATTTACCAATAACAGCCGATAAGTGGAAGCAAGCAACAATCCTCTGACTTGTCTCTTAAGGCAGTGATCCCCAACCTTTTTTACGCCGCGGCCCGGTACCGGCATCAGCTGAGCGCCGCGGCCCGGTACCGGCATCAGCTGAGCGCCGCGGCCCGGTACCGGCATCAGCTGGGCGGCGCCATCTTTTTTTGATGAAAAAGTGCTTCTGGTAAGCTTTCTACCCGGAAAAGCTCACCGGAAGCTCTGGCGCCACCATCTTTTTTTGATGAAAACGTGCTTCCGGTGAGCTTTCTACCCGGAAAAGCTCACCGGAAGCACGTTTTCATCAAAAAAAGATGGCGGCGCCCAGCAAGCCAGCGGCCCGGTAGGACTTGTTCCGCGGACCGGTGGTTGGGGACCCCTGTCTTAAGGCATCTGATATTTCAAAATGATTTTAGCTTCCAGCTAATGGTATGCCATCCTCTCCATTCGGGTTTTAGTCTAGTATGCCCCAACTCCCTCAAATAAGGTGGTCTAAAAGGCAATTGTAAGAAATTTAGCTGACTCTCTGCCAACCTCCCAATGATTAGGAAACCTTTTAATGGCAGTAAGCACTAGAAACACAATCCCCCAATTGATCGGATAGTCCTATATCTCTAAACACATACAATTCAAAACAATGGAGTGTGTAATCCATCTCTTCCTCCATTCTTCCTTTTTTCCTCGTCAAGCGTTTATCCTATCACTAAGTCCAAAGAGATATAACACTTGGGGTACACTTTCCCTGCTCTGGGCAATCTCAAAATATAGAATAACAGAATTGGAAGGGACCTTGGAGGTCTTCTAGTCCATCCTCCACCTCAAGCAGGAGACCCTATACCATTTCAGACAAGTGGCTATCTAGTCTTTTCTTAAAAGCCTCCAGTGATGGAGCACCCACAACTTCTGAAGGGACATTGTTCCACTGGTTGATTGTTCTAAATGTCAGCAAATTTTTCCTGAGTTCTAGGCTGCTTCTTTCCAATGTTCGTTTCCATCCATTCTTTCTTGTCTTGCCTTCTGGTGCTTCTCTGTGATAGCCACTCAAATATTGGAACACTGCTATCATGTCACCCCCTAGTTCTTCTTTTTACTAGAGTAGCCATACCCAATTCCCGCAACTGTTCATTGTATGTTTTAGCCTTCGGGGCCCTAATCATTTTTGTTGCTCTTCTCTGCATTCTTTCTAGAGTCTCAACATTTCTTTTATAATGTGGTGGCCAAAACTGGATGCAGAATTCCACATGTGGTCTTATATGTTTAGTTTAATGTTTCCCTTTCTCCAATGTTGACAAAGTTGTCTTCTACTTGTGCTAAAAGCAAATACAAATCCCATCTAAGAAGGGACCCCATTCAAAACAGGAAGCTGGAGACACTGGGGATGGAGCCAGAAGGCATGATTACATCCTGTATCCTATCTAGCAAAATGCCAGCCTGGGGGCACTAAGATTTGGGCATTCACACACAGTTATTTTACCTGAGAGTAACATATGTTGGCTTATCTTCCCAGATCATTCCAAAGAGATGTCCTTACTTACCAGGATTTTTTTTCCTAAGTGACACTTGTAGTATTTCAATGCCCTTGGCACAAACAGATGTAAACCTGTTTGGTTTGGTTCTGATGGTTCCTAGAACTCAACCTAGCTTCCAACAGATGGAAGTGTCCACTTTCAGTTCATTCAAAGCCATTATTACAAAGTCAGCAAAATCATTCATTCATTCTTTCATCTGCTCCTAAATTAGACCCCCCCCCCCCCAAAAAATATATCTAATACTTTCCAAATGCACTGGATGATAACGCACACTTCTCCCACCCTGACTGATTGAGAATGGCAGCAAGTGTAATAATCACCCATCTAGAAAGCACCACACTTGGGACAGTTATTCTTGAGAATGAAGGTTCTCCCAGCGGCAGAGATCACTTCCTCCTTTATGTTCCAACAAGTTTTACAAAGTAACTTTTTACCTTTTTTGGACAGTAGACTCACGATACATACCAACAAGGGTCATCCCACGATTCAGGCTTTGTTCCAGACACTAGGGTCGACTCTTCCCATTGTATAGTAATCAGTCTGTGTCATTATAAAAAAGAAACACAAAACTGAATAAGTAATTCTAGCAGACCAAAGGTGACCAGGCTCCAGCTTTGTTCTTTGTAAGAATCCAGTGTAACTTGTCTTGCTGCATCTTACCATCCCTTACAAAGTAAACATTTGTGGGTAGTGGTGGAAATCTCTTGTTCCTTGTGACACCCACTGCTAGAACACTCCAATTACATTGTGTATTTAGTATTATTATTCTGCAGCAGGGCAGCAGCCAGGCAGGGTTTGCTTTCAGTACTGGCCTTTTTTTTGGTTTCGAAGCCTCTAAACCTATCTAAAAAGACAATGGCCGGGAGTAAGTTAAAGACATTATGGGTTTCCTCCTGTGTTTGGGGAAGCAAAGAAAAACTAAGGCCAGATGGCTGCCCAGCTGAGCTACATTCCTACCTTCATTGTGTCTGAGAGTGCAGTTCCTTACCCCCCTCCTCCCTTTGCTTCCCTTCCCTATGTAAACAATTCCATCTGACATTGCCAGTTGCTTTTAATAATTCATCTCCCTTTGGTTACAAAGGAAAATGACTCTGGACCATCAGCAAATAATTAGAAGGGCTCTTAGCAACCAGCAGCTCAGTCCTCCGCTACCTTTCCAAGAGCTAATGACAGAACCATTTTTAGGGTGAGCCAGCATTTGGTCTGTTTCCATGTTTTCCCTTTACAAAAAGCATATATCTGTAAGCAGTAAAGTAGAACATGCACGCAAGAGTTTTCAGTCATGTACAGAGTTATCTGACTGATCTCGTTTCTATTTCAAACAGATCAAAGCAGCAAAGGTGGTGCCTCTCTCTTACAATAAATCTGTGAGATGAGCTTAAGATCTCACAGAAAGCTTAAAGTGATGGGGGCATTGAAATCTTCCCATTTGAGTTGAACTAGGAGTTTCTCAATTGCTAGGTTGTGCAAGCCCACAATACATTCCCCACGGTCAGCTGTAGTCTGCCTGATTTCTGGCTTCATATGACATATTAAATCATGAGTGAAAAATATGCCCTGCAATTAAACAACATGCTGAGCTAAAGTATGCTTGGCTGGTTTATGGTGTAGTGTGTCATGTGAAGGCAGTTAGCAGGCAAGTGTACACATGTACAAGGTTACTATTAATTGCATATGGTTAGTGAGATGGGTGACATATAAATTTAATAAATAAAAATAAATGTTCTTTGTAAACAAGCACCTGAATTGAAACTTATTTCAGAATTCCACTGATTGCTTATACAAAAATATGGAAAGTGTGCATGTGCAGGTATGTACAATAAGAGTGGCACAGACATAAAATTGTTTTTATTTTATATGCTAGGTTCACCCTATTGCTCTTATTTGAGGTTTGATGAAATAGTTACAAACTATTCAAAGTGTCTGATTCTTTCGTTTTTGCACTGTAAAGTGCACTTTCTCACTCTAGACTTTGGAGAAACAGGGCTTTCCAGAATACAACCAGGAAGGACCAGAGATTTTGTTATTAGCAAATCAGGAACAGGAATGCAAATGTATGTGAGAGAAAAAGCCTTACCTTCTCACTATAGCAATAGCACTTAGACTTATATACCGCTTCACAGACCTCTCTAAGCGGTTTACAGAGTCAGTAATATGCCCCCAACAATCATTTTACCGGCCTCAGAAGGATGGAAGGCTGAGTCAATCTTGAGCTGGTGAGATTCGAACTGGCGAACTGCTGTTAGTCAGCAGTCAGCAGAATTAGCCTGCAATACTGCATTCTAACCACTGCGCCACTATGGCTCCATCCAAATGACAGCGAAATATCCTAAGGAGGGGAAGCCTTTCTGTGTTTGCGTGGAGCTCATGATCACCACTCAGAATTGCATGTTGTGCCTGAGGCTAAAAATAATCAAAATTAATTCTCTCTTCCACTATATACTGAAGTAGCTACAATATAGCTACAATATAAAGGTATATTTGTAAAGGCATATTTATAACGTAACTACCTTATGTTATAAAAATGCCTTTCTTTTGTCCTTTCTTTGACATTAGCCTTTCAGTTGGAGTTACCTGGTTAAAGGCACTGGACAGCTATATTTTATAATCCTTTTAATCACCTCCCTTTGGGGGAAATCTCCAATCAGCCCAAATGAGAACTTGATCCTGAAGGAGATTGTACTTCTGAAATTTATAGCCAGTTAAGATTCATCAAATGATGCTGTTTCTTTACATTGGTCCTTTTATAATCTGTGTAATCTGTCTCCTACCAATTTCTCTGAAAACATTTCACATACAGCAATTTAATTTTACTCTTCCTATATGGAAGCCTTGGTTTCTAAAAAAACTAAGCAAACAAAACAAAACAAAAACTCAAAGAGCTACATCATTATTGTGGAAACTTCAGAAAACTAAGATTAGTCTGCAGACTACAATGCCAGAGCCCTTTATTGATTTAATTTGCAACTGATATTTATACCTTTTCCCTCAGAATCTATTATAATACTTCCTTTTAATGCCCATTGCATCATCAAAGGTATTCTGTTGTTTTAAAAGTATACGGGAAGAAAATAGAATTGAATTACTGGGGATATTGCAGCAAAGATTTCCTTATTCCTAATGGGATCATTTTTATTTATCTCTTGCTTTTAATTACACAGTGAGATTTTGTTTTAACAGATGAATGTACAATTTTAGTTCCAATAAAATGTCATGTATAACATTATCTGCATACTGATACAATTATAACACACGATGCAATACACATCATTTGCATAACTGCACCACCTGTATAATGTTGTCATTATGCAAATATTTTATTACATCCTGTGCAAATAAAGTACATTGCATCAGAAGTCCATTATGTTGAGGTTTAGAAAACTGGTTCTGCTTTACAACTAAAATTGAGAAAACTCAGAGAAAACCAGGAAAAGCCCTTGGATCCTTCCAGTTTTGATAAACTAAAGTTTTGGGTTTCTAATATTTGAACTAAGAGTTTGAAATTAGACCTTGAGTGGTGGTCCTCGTTTTTTTTTTTTTTTTTACAAACAACACAAATTCCAGAAATTAAAAGAGCTCAAGCGAACAATTTTCAAACTCTACTGACAAAGATAGGTCAATCAGTCTATAACCAAGCAGAATATGACTATATGGTGTACTCTGATTTACATAACTTTGACAGATTAAAGGTGTTAAAAAATTTGTTCTATTTTGGTGATAGGCAAGCATCCTTTAAAATGTTGCTGTCAGCATCTCAAAATGACAAAATTAAGAGTTTTAATTGCCTCTTACCAGTTCTTTTGTGAAGGTCTTAGAGATGGAGAACTGGTTAATACACTTATCATTGTTTTTATTATTTATTATTGTTACTGCACACTTTCTTATTCTTCCTCTAGTTCCTCAGTTCAGAGTTTTGTGAACTGGTTATCTTTTTTATTTTACCAGAGTGCCACAAAAGCACTTAAAAATAAACAAATTATATTTCTCATTTATTCACAGGACAAGTGAATCATGAGCAATTACAAATTTGTATTACAATAATGCATCAATAGATTGTATAGAGTAGGATAGATTGCTTCTCTTGAAAGTCCTGATCCTGCTTGGCTTTCTTGAGATCAATCAAGGTCAGTTAGGTGCTGCTCGCTTCTGTTCACAGGTCTTATAGACAGGCTAGCAGGAAATCACAGTTCTTTTGCCAACTGTGACTTCTCCTTGCATTTTAACAGAACATGTTAATATTTCATCACACTGTCAACAATCACACTGTTTTCTTAACGCAATCAACCTGTTTCATTCACAAGCAACAAAAAAAATCCAGATAATAATTTGCCATTCCCTTCTATGATTTCCAGCACTTTCTTCCTTGCTCCTATTAAGAGGGAAAACACAGAAAGGAATCTAGATGCTATGACCTAATATCTAAACTAAAGCTTGTAAGACTAAATCCATCCAGTACTGACTGACCCAGATTGGATCCTATCTAAACCACTATGCCTGGAGTAACACATACTGAATGCCAACTGGTGTTGTAGCTGAGCTTCCAATCATATTTAGAAGTGTAAGGAACCAAAATAAGTACGTTTGGTCCTGTCCCATGTTTTGAAGAAGTTTTGAAAATAAATTTGTTTTCAGTAAAACCTTAGTTTGCTGGTCCTCTATGCTACAGAATTCTGTGCAATTTATGTCATTTGGACAATGAAAGCAGAAACCTACAAAACAAGCCTCTGATTATGTAGTTGAGCATTGACTACTCTGAGCGGGTGCATCTCATTCTTCTTCAAAATAGCTGGTTGTTGTGATTTCCAAAGATTAATAAGATATTCTTTTTCAGTGATCATAAATTATCTGGCTCTGGACTAACATACGAACATATGAATGGATGTAAACGTATATTTTATTCTCAACTGACATGACTATAAATATGTACATGAAGATGTCCAAGTGTGATTATTTACATTCTTTAAAAAGCCATTCCAACCTTCTTTTGCATAGGTATCACTTTATTTACTTAGATCTATTCCTAAACCTTCTTTCCCTGCAGTCATATGAAAAGATGTACTCTAAATCAATGATAGATCAAGGAGTTCCTTGTCATTTAAAATGCAAATATGAAGATTGTTTAGGAAATATCACATATTCAACTAGGTTGTGTCTTCTGTTACACTTTTTTCCACTGCTCTTGCAGCTCCTGAATCCTGCATATCTGAACGCCAGTCTGCCTCTGTTTTTGCAGAAGCAGAACGTGCAACTTAAGATTTGCCTCCAATTAGTTGTTACTTGCTAGAGTAATGAATGTTTACCCATATATGTGACTTTGGCTGTTGAGAGTACAAGGTCAGGGGAGATCTCCCAGTAAAGAGAGGGTGAAACTGCAGTCAGATGCACTGAATCAGCGCACCAGGCAAATCAATACTGAGCATCAACTAGGAAAGATAATATATCAATAAATGCTTCTGTACACAAACATCAGTTCATGGCTTGTGAGTCAATTGGGAAGAAAAAAAATATGGATGATCTCCAGTGTCATGGAGCCAGTAACC